ATTCCAAATACATATCAGATACCTATACACTGTTAAAATTATTATGTATTTTTACCCTTTTTACGCTGGCAGAAATGTTGCCGTAATTATAACTGTATTTTAACGTTATAATATGTTATTTCACAGTATGTAATGCAACTTTACCTCTATAGCTATTATACATCTAAGGAAAATTTACATATTATTAGTAAATGGAGTGTGTGTAAAATTACCATGACGTTAATTTACATAAATTGGTAAAATAACATACTGCGTGTGTAATTTAACAGAGTTTATGCAATTATACCTCTTTACAATATTTCTGCAAGTAAATTTACCATTCTAGTGTAGATTTACTTACTATGTAATTTACCGAAGTAAAATTACTAAAGGCGATGTGGGTTCGATCCTGGCGAACACAGAATGTAGTAGTAGTAGTAGATAAGTGATATCGCAAACTACACACACACACACATACATACACACAGAAATTCACTATAAACCTCAGAATGCCTCGTTCGGCATTTTTGTCCAAACGTGGCAAAAACGTGTTAACATAATTGCCACAATTTTGCCACGTTGTAACGTTTTAAAAACAAAATGCCACATTTGTCTGGAGTTCCAAAACGTATTTGTTTTTTAAATTGCCATGTTTTTGGGACGAGGAATTGTGTCCAGAACGAGGCTGTTCACAAGGTTGGATACATGATTTTTCAAAAGGGTTGACGTGGGTTCAACCAAACCAAAGTCTCGTCGAGCGTATTGAGGACAGCATGCTATTATTTGGTGAAACTTTCAAGCGATTATGTAGAGAAAATAGTGAGATATTGTCGGGGAACAATGGAAATAGTCACATTGATCACCAGAGAATATTCGCTAGGCCGCTATAATCACTGATAAGGATGACATCGATGCGACTTAGTGAGCCTCAAATATATGCATTTTCTCTATTGGTTAGTTTAATATGCAATTTTAAATGAAACATGGGCTCCGTTTGTATTATCACCTGTTCAGATTTAAAAAAAACAAAAAACATTTCATAAGTTTTTCTTTAATTTAGCCAATTAAAATAACTATTTTGCTTAAAAAGTTAGTTTGATGCAAACATCAAATGAAAATAGGCCGTACAATTCAGAACTTTTTTTTTTTCAGGGATGGGGCATTCTTACCTGATATTAGAGATTATGAATCCAATGTGGAAATTGGAACTTTCGCCAAAAGCCAAGGCTTATCCGAATTTTGGATTGGTAAGCAGGTTTATTTGACTTTAGTTAGACTATTTATTTGTAGATTTTTAGAACAGTAAAGAGTGATGTAAAAATGTAAAAATATACACGTACGTGAGGGTGGGTGTTGGATTTTGGAAAAGGTGACCGTGCGCAAATCAAACTCTTACCGGCCGTAGCGTAGCATGGGAAAGTCATTTTTGGAACATTTACAGTGATATCTAAATCTAATCGAAATAAAAAGCCGACAAAGTTGAATAGAATCTGTTACATATTATATTCTTCCATATTATTCAAATAGTTTGGATATTCTTAGGGAGAATTACCAGTCTGAATCCCAATTTATAAAGTGTAAGGGAGGTTACTCTAGCATACAGTGCTCTAATGAAAGGAGGCGTATTCTGTCAAATAAAACGAAGATGGCGGCAAATTATGTATGTTTTTCAATAAAATACTAAATAATTATAATATGAATGAGAACTATCAATGTAATACTATTAATATCAGGTAAAACGAATACCATGTATTCGGTCGTATATGGTTAAAATGATAAAAACATATATAACATCGATGCTACTATATCGAACTATACAGCTACTTACCTACTATTTTATTACTTTATAATAATTTAGATCCATTTTAATTTATAATATTTTTACGTCAAAATCATGAATGACCCACAAAATGTAATTTCCAAATAAATTTTGGAAGTCGTAACCAAGGGACATAAATATTGTAATACACAAATGTACCCAAAGCCACCGTTATTTCAATTCCATTCCTGGAGTCGCGGGGCAGAGTCCTATTCTTGAAGGAGCATGCCATGACCATATACTAATTTCCTGGAGCATTTAACTCTGTAATATCCAACTCCTCGGTTAATCGTTTAGTTGGAGTTGATAATCCTCGTTTGTTCAGGAAGTTTCTACGGATATTGTCCTAAATATCACAGTTTATAAAATAGCGATTTCTTTTTTTGTGTAAAATATATAGGCTGTAGGCCAACTATGCATCCAGAATTTGGTCTTGGGATGATATAAGAAAATAATCTTTGATTGAACTTGTCCAGAATTTGGTCTTGGGATGATATAAGAAAATAATCTTTGATTGAACTTGTTCTATTTCACAGGCTTCAACCGTAAAAATATTGCAGCTAATAATATTTCTGCGACATGGAGTGATGGAAGCTCAACAACAATATATGAAGGATTCTGGGAAACAGATCAACCAGATATATCCAAGCCTCTCTGTGGTTATGTTAAAACTATTAATGATAAGTACTGGTGGAGCTTCAGAAATTGTGAATGGAAACAAAACTTTATTTGTCAACTTCCAGCTTGTGCTTCAGGTTTGTGTAATGCTAATATATATGTAATCAGATCTGGTTAATGAGCAAACTGTAGCACATGGAGAAAACCAATTGTAGATGACAGGGAGTTCCCATGCATAATGGTCTCAGTGCTGAAAGGGCAACAAGACTATTTGCTTGCCAGTTTGACAGCAATGGGAAAATTACAAACAATTTTTTGTCTGCTTTGTTCATTTTACAAAGTGTTTGTATTTATTATTTGTAATCAAAAACCCAATTTATTTTCCATTGGGGAAGTTCACATACTTTTATCATTTTTAGAATTAAATCCTAGCATGATTGAAGTGTAAAATCAGTTATTTATATATTTCAAAATCTCTCCAATTAAAGGAAGTCATCAATGTTTGAGTGGTAAATGTATTAATAGTCAGTGGGTATGTGACGGACAAGATGATTGTGGTGATATGTCAGATGAAAGAAATTGTGCAGCAGGTATGGCTATTTTGAGAATTCGTTTAATTCAAATTGACTGTAAAATGACAGAACTATAAAAAAATGGACAATATTAATACTTTAGATTTTAATGTAGACTAAAGCCTAGCTACGTTTCCTATTGGTACTGTCCAGTTGTTGCATGCATAATGAAGATTTTAGTAAAAATAGGGTGACCAAGAAGTCTAGGAGTGCTCTAAAGGTTTTGCTAGTTTATATGGGTGTAATCAGTGAGTCGTTTTGCAATGAAAACATACATGTAGTGGGGAGCCAATATTTTATTAAAAAATTATACTCATATCGAATTGTAAAATTTAGAAGTGTATTTTTCAGTAGTTGATTTATTATAAATAATGTGAATTAATTTTTCTCCTTGATATAAACAATGTAAGTACTGTTATAAATTATATATCATATACGGTTCTATTTTGCAGCTAACAATTGTGTACAATATCTTACTGGAAGAACAGGCCAAATTTCCTCTCCAGGATTTCCAGCTAATTATGCTAATGATTTATCATGTAGTTGGACAATTGAAACACCAATAGGAACCAATGTCCGCTTTGATGTAAGTGTATTAATCACTTTATTAATATGAAACTGAAATAAACAATCAAAGAGTAACATTCAAAACAATGGACAATAAGTTAACGGTAAATATAATCATTCATAACCTAAAAGCACTTCTAATGACTTCAAGGGTAGTGACTATTGTTGACTAGGATTCTAGTCATCTGTGTAATAGAATCATGCTCACTACTATAGGTCTAATGATGAGTAGTTGTAAATAGTCCTGTGTTATTTTTCATGTTATTTATTTCTATATTTTATATCGATGACACATATACACATGTGTAATGTATTGAACTTTGCCTTTTAGTTGTCATCATTAGGTGTAGAAGAAAATAAAGATTTTATTACCATATATGGTGGTGGTAAGACAGTAATGAAGTCTGTAAGACTCGACAGAATATCAGGATTTCTTGTTAGTTTTCCACAACCTTTCTTCATCAGCACCAGTAACTTTCTAATAGTACAGTTTACATCAGATGCCAGTGGTACATTAACAGGTTTCCAAGGAAACTGGTCTTCAGGTATTTTTGAATATACATTTTAATACCATATACTTCAGTGTACAGAGCACATACATGTGTAAGACACAGATACTCTACGGGAGATAGAAATATTGTTTAATATACACACTTCCATAATTGTCTGTGGAACACTTGCAATCTCACAAATATACCTATGAGGAGATCCAATAGCAAGGTCAAAATTTTATTTTTAATTGCAATTTGTAAATGGTAATTTGTAAAAATTGAAAGACTACTGGTACGCTCAACTCTAAACTTTGGACCAAGTTTGAGATATTTTTGAGCTCTGTCACAGTGTTGCCTGTCTAAGCATCTAGATTTTCTCTCTGATTCCTCCCACTGCTCAAGACCCCTGATAACAACCGAAATGATGAATAAATTTTGAGTAGATGATGTTTTGTGGTTATATCATGAGACGAAACACAAATTAAATCCAATAACAAATAAGCCAGAGATTAATTCCGATAGCAAATAAGCCAGAGACTCACTATCACTTTCATTTCATTTACACATATACTAAAAATTATTTAATCTTTTGTTTACAATTTTTAGTTGCTCATAGTGCTAATCCATCTGGTGTCCAACTAATGGCTACTACTGCTATTCAGACCTTGTCACAACCGTTATTTCCACAACCATATCTCAGTAACCAAGAATCAGTATGGGTCATCAAATCACCATTAAGAGAAGTTGTCACCCTTAAAGTAAGGAATTTTGTTTTACATCTTTAACTGTGTTCCAATAAATCAACACAGAAAGTTGATAATTTTAATTTGACTCTGATCAAATAAGTCAAGTCATTTGAAACATCATCGTAAGATTATATTATACAGGATGATGATAACTGAGTCTTCTTGTTTTGTTTTGTAGAATGTTGGTCTAGATTTAGCCAAAGGAGATATTATTGAAGTAAGAGATGGTGCTACAGTTGATTCTCCCTTGCTAGCCACATTTACATCAGATGGTGGACCATATTATGTTACCTCAACAGGTGACTCTCTACATGTTTTCTTTAAGACTGGTCAAAATGTTAATAAACAGCATACTGGCTTCCAGTTTCAATACAGACAAGGTGAGTCAAACTGCAAATTTAATACTCATCACTATTTAACATATGCCTTTTACTAGTCAAAATATTTGTTATTAATAAGAAACATATTAAAATATGTTTCTTAGTCATAATAATTTGAAAAAAACCCATATGTCATGTTATTTTTGTGTTCTGTAGATGTTTAGAGCACAACGGTGAAGTGTTGCATAAGTGTTCATATTAATAATGTAGCTATCTGTTAAGAGCACAACGGTGAAGTGTTGCATAAGTGTTCATATTAATAATGTAGCTATCTGTTAAACTTGACACTTATGTTATACAAACTGATATGTATTGTCAAAAAAGCAGCCCTCACACAATATTAACTATTTAATGAATCAAATTATCAGTATTATGGAACTCATTTCAGAATGACTAATTTCTTACACAGTTTGAAAACAAGATAAGTTTTCCTCCAGTCTTTTATGTCTGTTTATTTAATGTTTTATTTTTACAGGCTGTAATTATGAATACAATAGTAATAGTGAAATGCTCTCATCACCGGGTTATGGTATTGTTAACTATCCAAATTATCAAACATGTACCTGGATAATCAGGCCTAATCCTCCAAGAGAAGTAACTCTGATGTTCGATCCCCAGTTTAACTTAAATGCAGATGATTTTCTTGAGGTAATTATGAGAAAATGTATTAATGTTTTTAAACAAGGTGGATATATAGTACTCTAATTAAAAATCTTTATTTGCTTTTCAATTTAGTCTACCAGTGGTTTATCTTACTTCCGTTCTGTATTTATCGAGGGTATGCCTAAAATGAATTTAACCCCAATATTTTACAATTACTTGCCAAATCTAACTCATATTGGAAAGTTAGCATGGTCTCTAGATGTAAGGGCATGGAATTACACCATGTAATAAGCTTTTAGAAAGAAATTATCACTGTAAGTGAGGTTATGCATCCAGGGGTACGGGACAATTCATCCCTGGACAACTTGTCCCCTGACAACTCATTCCTGGACAAAATGTTTCCTCTGAGACTATGCGCCCCCGGGAAATTCGCCCCTGGACAATTTATCCCCTAGGACTATTCAACCCCGGATAATTCGTCCCCGGTGACAATTTGTCCCCAGACAATTCTTCCCCATTATCTATTCGTTCCTTAGGACTAGTATTGACACTGGACAATATCATAGTGAAGGGATAAATGGATGTAAAACTAGTATCAAAACCAAGTTTTTGTGATGGAACTACAACTATTGTTGTCCCTAGGGGACGACCTGTCCGGGGACGAATTGTACATGGGGACGAGTTGTCCATGGATGAATAGCCCTAGGGGGCAAATAGTCCTATAAGACTACAAGTCCTGGGACGAATTGTCCTCGGGGACAAGTTGTCTGGGGATGAATTGTCCAGGGACAAATTATTTGGGAAATTGTCCTAGAGCCTGCATCCAGACCATCATAAAAAAAAAAATCAGATTAGTGTATGAAAAAGCTCTGAATCTATTGACTTGGTTACAAATCGCTGTACACTGGTCAAACTATGGTAAATCATCACCTTTAATATTATAGATGGGTTTGTGATAAAGAGAGATACAAATAGTATAGTACTCTGGCTAAATAAATATTTAAATGTTAACATTGTTGTTTTATTTGTTATATATAAAATGTTAAAAACTGTTGCAGTTCACATCCAAATTTGTATGGTTTTATCTTAAGGACGAAAGGCACTGGAAATGAAAAGAATAATAATATATTTTTAGGTATATAATTCTATAGATGACAGTGGAACAGCTCTTCATGGTAGTGGTTCAGGATTCTCTGGCAGCACAGCACCTAGCCCTATCTCTGTAAACAATGGATTGTTATTCCTGCGATTAAAAACCAATTCCATCATTAATCAAAAGGGATTTATGGCTAGATTCTCTGTTGGTAAGTATTCCCTTATATACATTGTTACAGAGTTGTTTTCTGTATGATGTAAACTGTCCCTGATACTTTGGGTTTATTCAGATTATTTATAAGGGATACCGTGAAGAAAAAATTGTCTTATAGCCCAGGAATTTTAACAACTTATAAAGTTATAATGGACTATTTTGTGACAGATGTATAGTTGATGCAACTAGCCGAAAATAGAATTAGACAAGCCAGTCTTTAGTAACAGTTGAATATTGCATTGTCACCTCAGGCCTCATTGCTTGAGAGATCTGTATCTTTGCACACATAATTGAAGTGGAAGTTAGTTTTTATATCCATAAATTGTATACAATCTTTCTAACATCTATTCTACTTTTACTATAGTGAATGTTTAGTAACTTTGAGTCTGATTGAAGTTCTAGAATTTTTATTCAATCATCAACTTCATACAATCTTATATTTCCTAAAAGGGCAGAATAGTCACGAGTAATGATAAGTTTACTGCATAGATAGAATATGTATAGTCAGCCTTAATACAGATATCTAGAGATGTGGGTCAGAAGATAAGTGTAGAGTTTGCATACCACAACTTCCATAGTTTTAATATTCTTCACTCTTTTTAATTTCAGGTTGTCCTGCTATCATTTTTAATTCTAATTTCATGCAATCATCATCTGATCAATCATTTGGTTCTGCATTTGATATATCATGTAAACCTGGTTACCGTTTTGATTCTCTAGAATTATATAATAGAACTACTGTTCAAATAAAATGTTTATTTGGTGGACAGTGGAATGTCCGTGCTATACCAAGTTGTGTAGGTAAGTGTAAATCCGTCTATTGCAGGTCTTTCTTTTGGCCTGAAATGTTATTTAAATTATTAATTAGACATTAATTGACTTATCCAGGCCATAATCAACTCTCGATGTCATCACTAGCCTGCGATATTTACTGAATTAGAATCTGATTTGCTGCTCAACTTTTTTTCGTGATTTAATCATGAAATGGATAATCGAGACTATGTTTTTTTTATTGTACCGACTTTAGTAATGATGATCGAGGCTAGGCCGAAAATTCAAGCGCTAAATTCTCGGTTCAGAGTGGATCAATTTAACTGAAATTTTCAGCAAATTCCCATTACATTATCGAGTTTTTAACTATTATAGTGAGAACTATCAGCTCTTTATCTAATCTCCCATAATGTATCTTTAACATGTTTGTAAATTTCTAGTTATCAATTATTTGTATCATGAATATATTCTTTTACACAGTGCTCTGTGCCTGAGAATAAGATTGTTAGGATGATATTACTGAATGAAATTTCTGCTGTTTTCTAGCTAATTATTGTGGTTTTCCACCAACTGTTAGTAGTGCCCGTATTATATCAGGAAATGGTGTAGGGTATGGTAGTACTGTAGTTTATTCATGTAATGATGGTTATATACCAGACACCCAAATAACAGCTACATGTAATATAAACGGACAATGGACAAACTTACCAACATGCCAGGGTTAGTAATTTATAACATTGTTTGATGTATTTTTACTACAATCATATTCTAGATGCTCAATGTTCTGGACTGGATAAGCTGATCCTAAACTCAACAATTAAAGGGACAACATGACTGTATAGGCATTTGATGGGATTTCTTTTGCAATAGGTGAATGTGGCTACCTGTTTTTTGATTTGATGCATTACCAAAATTCAGTTGATGAACCACTGACTTTCACGTGGCCATGCTTGTATATGCCTAAATTAAAATGACTGTATATTGCTTTTGACCATTACAATATAAATATTGTGAATGCTGTTATGGCTACAGTTATCTATTGATATGATTGAAATTAATATCCATTATTTGTTAATTACTTCTAGACTTACTGCCCTTGCTCACTTTGTAAAATCTTGCGAATGCTTTATTTAAGCAAGTTGTCATCTGTTCTGCTTGAAGTAAATATGCAATGTTCAGACCAGTGAAACAGTAAATTATATTAAGTATTGGGAAACTTTACAACATCAAACATATTTTTTAAAATTTCAAGTTTTTAAATTTGTTTTTTTTACTAAGATATTGTACATTTGTTATTGTCCTATTCGAAATAAATTTTTGAAGTTCAATTATTACTTTTGTCTTTGTTTGTATAGCCAAGAAATTATATATAAAAACCACTTTTTTTCTAGCCTCAACGTGTACAGCATTACCTAGTGCTACTGAACCAGTAATTAAACTAAAAACCGAGAATGGAGATGGTACAACATTTGGTTCTATAGTAACATATAGTTGTAATAATGGCTATGAATTACAAGGTTCGCCAGTTACTATATGTTACAATGGTACTTATACATCATCACAACCAACTTGTTCAAGTAAGATAATATTTTGATAATACCAAATGGGACCACAGTTGTTGTATAGTTAGCCACTGGTGTTTCAACTGAATTGTTTAAATCAGACCACAGACTGAGACACATCAGTGAATGTAACCATAGAATTAAAAAAATTACCATTTCTTGTCTTAAAGTATTGTACTGATGAAACATGATTATTGCTTTCTGGGCAAAATTCTCTGTAACATTGCATTCTTGGGCCATAAACATATGAAGAGTAATAACCTGTTGATGAGATGTCAAGAGCCATTTTTTAATTTTCCTTTTTTAAAGATATAAAGTATGTATCAATGTATGATATTTACTGTTTTAGTTGTTGCAAACTGTTTCTGGGCGTAATTTATACATTTAGCTCCCGGTCAATATTTCAGCCTCTCATTACATATACTCCTAGTCATATACAGTCATGGTTGTTTGGCATAGAATTGCATTTATATATTCCCTAATCCAAATAAGAGATAAACACTTACTGTTTCAAATTATGTTTTGTGCATTTCGTAACGTTTTAACGTTTGTACATGATTTTAATATATTTGATATATTTTATTACAGTCCTATCCTGTCCTATACCAATGATATCTAATGGAGATGCTCAGATAGCTGGAGGTAAAGCTGTAGCAAATTTTGGTGATTCACTGACCATAACATGTAAAGCTGGTTTCATTCTCTCTGGTACACAAGCCATGATGTGTGGGGAAGATCAAACGTTTGGAACTCTACGCACTTGTGTTGGTAAGTTGATAGAATGTTATTTTTGAATTTTAAAATTAAGATATAGAAAAGTTTTCCAAAAACAGACTGCCAAACTAAGATTATGCTTAAGTTGAGAGTGTTATTTATTTCTTTTAAGTTTAAAATACCGATACCCAAAATATATCCTTAAAAACACTGCAAATCTCAGATTTGATTTAAAGGTGCTAAGTCACTAATATTTGGGACCTAGAAATTGACACAAATGGGTAGCAACGCATACAATAATGTAATATGAATGTATATAAATTGATTTACATTCAAACGTTTCTGTTTTTACTGTTATTTTTAATCAGTTAAGTTTGGCGAAATACGCCAGTATTCTCCATCGAATTTCAATCTCTAGCATCAGGTTATTCCAGTCTATGCCAATATTATTTATTTGGCTTGCTCTCCAGATAAGAATATAGCGTCACTGTTTGACATGACTTGTGGAATATGCCTAGCCTCGTTTTTCGAGCCCCTTATTGTAAATAGTGCCGAAACGCATTATGGTACACGATTCGTGTACCAATTGTAAAATGTTTATTTTGTCTTAAATAATGGATATCAGAAGGCCATCTTTTCCCGGTAAGATCACAACATCAATGTTGATTTAAACCGACAAATAAATCGCGTTTTCAGTTTCGAAGATTTTGGATGATATTGAGTTAGAGACTTAGCTACTTTAAAAGAGGCCTGACAAGGACAGTTGTCTCGTCCTTCGGATGATACGAAAAACTGAGGTCCCGTGTATACATTGGAATGCACGTAAAAGATCCCTTGGCAGTTGGAATTCGATATTAGAGTAGGCGATAGTGCCGCTGCCCGGGCAAAATTTCCCTCATAGCACACTGTATGGCGTATGCCCGTCTTCATTAGCACAGTATAGGAGCAGAATAGTAGGACGTTAAACCCTATTTCATTTCATTTCACTTTAAAAGAGAGAATCCCTAAAATTTGAACAATTTTGCCAGTCAGTTAGGACTTTATCTGTTGGTTGATGCTATTAGATATTTGTAGAATATATATAAGAATGGTTATATAGGTTGCTGATATACTAATTTCTATATTATACTAGATATTAATGAGTGTAGTAATAGTAATATATGTGGTATACAGCAATGTGTAAATACAGTAGGGTCTTATGTGTGTAAATGTTTAGATGGATATAGAGCTACAGGAACATCAGCTTGTCAAGGTAAGGACTTGTTCATAAGTTTAAACATTGTACTAGATTATGGTAAGGGTTGTCGTTCTTCTAAATGAATAATCTGAAATTTTTTTGAAAATTTGGCTTCCGCAACGCAAATGTATATTGAATGAATTGGCAAACCTCAATATTGATGTTTGAACTTGAAAATGATATATTAATAGGATTAATAGGATTATATTTTAACAAAGTAGGACTGTGTATAGATTCCATGTGTTTTAAGACTTTTTTTTTAATATATGCTATTTTCGCTCTAACTAAATGAATTGAGTATTATTCAGATAAATCATGTTTACATTAACAGATATAAATGAATGTACATCAAATAGTGGAGGATGTAGTCATACATGTAGTAATTCAATGGGGAGTTATACATGTAATTGTCCGACTGGTTATTTCCTATTTACAACTAATGGTGAACAGAGTTATATGATACCATCTGGAGAAACAGGAACTAAATTTGGTGATACACTCTACTTTAAACATACATGTTTACGTAAGTAGCTTATGCTGTAGTCGTTGCTACACATACATCTGATATGATGCATGCATAAAATGTGAAATAGGTATTGAATCTTCTAAGTACAAGTTATTTGCATTATATAATGTTGATATATATTTGTTTTAAATCTTTTCCCAGATTTTTGATTGTTTGCCCTTATTTGTCAATGTCACAACCTAAACCATATATTCGATGTTATTTACAATTTTACCCCATATTCTAATTTTTATTAGCTAGTACCCATTTAAAGTAAAGTTTTACAATAAAATGTTCATAATTTTTGTCATAGTATAAGCTTGGTGGTTTCTTTATGCTCCAGTTTGCAAGTATGGTGCTATTGGCAAAATTGTACAATTTTTTTGGTCTCATTTTAGGAAGAACATGTTCAATATTTAATATACCCAATGGTTATATTAGTCCATCAACAACAAGATATTTCTATGATGATGAGATATCAGTACGATGTGATCCTGGCTATATAATTACTGGACAGAGTAATATAAAGTGTACAGCTTCTGGACAGTGGTCAAGCACTCCTTCATGCACAGGTAATTTTCGATGATTATATTTTGTATTTCTTTTACCCAAATTTCAAATCAGTTATGTTGAGCGAAATACGCGAGAAGTCTCAATTGAATGGCAGTCTCTAGTGTCTGGTTATTCCAGTCTACACCGGTAGTATTTATTGTGCATGCTCTTCCGATGAGAATATGTCGTCACCATTTGACATGAATTGTAGAATATATCTAGCCTTGTTCTTCGAATTACCAATGGTAAAATGTATATCTTGTCTTAAATATTGGGTATCAGAAGGCCATCTTGTCTCGGTAAGATCACAACATCAATGTTGATTTAATTTAACAAATCATTCGTGTTTCCAATGTCGTAGACTGGATGATATTAAATTAGAGAGTTAGCTACTTTAAACCTTTTAATGAGAACATAAATAATTGAATGATATTAATCAACATTTTTAGCATTAATAAAGTGTAAGCTTGTACAATACATGTCTATACATTTTCTATGATACATTGGGACATCACTGTAGTGTGGTTACGTGTAGACCTAGTACTACATTTCTGTGGCTCAGCGTGTAAGGTGCTGGTTTACTAACAAGGAGGTCAGGGGTTTGATCCCAGTATTGATCGAGAGTGTTCCCTATGACAGTGTACTATGAAGATTCTGGCAAGGAGCAGTGTATAGTCATTTAGATGGGGCCAAAAATTAAGGTCCCACGTACATGTTGGCGTGAACTTAAAAAGGACCCCCCTGACATTTGGATTTTGATGCTAAATTGGCAGAAACATTATTAGCCCCGTTGGTTCAGAACAGTAGGATGTTGAATCCCATTTCATTTCATTTATATTTCTGTATATAATCTTATTCTCATTTTCTTTGGTTTATATTTTCTAGTGGCTGTGTGTAATTATACCCCACCTACAGGACCTAATGCTCCATCTGTATCACCTTCTTCACCTGTAAATTATCAGACCAATGTAGCTGTATTTTGTTCAGGATCTGTTGGCGTACCAGCTTATTCTAATGATAGACAGTGTGTATATGATGTCAGTACTCAGACTTATAAACTTGATGGAGACTTTACTTGTAGAGGTGAAATAAATATATTGTCTTAATATTAAATTAAAAGTTAGGTAGTTTCCGTCAGATAAACCATACCCTGGCTGTCATTTGTAGCCTTTAGGTGTAGACGGACATAAAAGTAACCTACATGGTCAACAATTGTGAGGTTGTAGTTGCCTCTCTTGTGTCTGTTTTGATAACCATGGGGGTGCTCTATTGTCAGTCCGGAATGTCCCAAATCGACAGAATTGCAAACAAATGGTATGGAATTCAGCCCTGTCACGATTCTGTCAGTGCCGACAGCTGAGGTGTTGTGAGTAGAATTGTGACATATTTTAGGTAAGAAATAGGTTTCAGCTGTCATGATTGGTTGAGATATTTTTTATGACACTGTTTTTGGAATTGAGAGAATTTAATTCCGGAACGTTCAATCGAGTATGCCCTATGAAATGAATTATTCATTGATTCTATTGTAATTCTATTAAAAGAATATATGAAAGAGGAACGATTAATTCTTGTCTATGATGTCACTTTCGTGGAAGCAGACGTTAATGAACTATGGTATAACTACTAATACTAATTAATTGTTTAAATTATGAAAGATCACCATCTTTTTTTTTTATTAGTAACTGACTGTGGTGTACCAGAAGTTAGTGATGGCATGCAGACACCTACAACTACTAGTACACAGGCGGGTATTGGTTCATTTACATATACATGTAAATCATTCTATGTACTTGATGGTGCTGCAGGACAAGGTGGTACTACAGTAACATGTCTAGCAAACGGACGATGGGATTTCGGTACTCTCAGGTGTTTACGTAAGTATTAATATTAATATAAATATCAAAACTCTTGAAATACATTATCTGACATTCTGAAATTATCTGTAAGACATGTGGTTGAAATGACATGAAATGGGGTTTACAGTCCGAGTTCATTGCACCAACAAGGTTAATGAAGATGGGTTTATGCCATGCAGTGTGCTATGAGCGAAATTATACCCAAATAGCAACATCTTTGCCAACTTTTCACCATGTTCCAACTGCCAAGGGTTCTTTTACATGCATGGACAAGGGAAAACCTTTCTGAAACATCCCAAGGAACTTTCTCAGCAAACACCATACTTGAATCCGGGACCTACTGAGCAATTGTGGCTTCAAAGAAAATTTTTTTTAATTTGTTCTAATCTTAAATGGTCTAGAAACATTCCATTCAATTCTGACTTGAACTGAAGTGAGAGTTCTTGCACACGGCCATTTATCATCATACAAACAAATGTATTTAAATGACATTCCTAGCTAATTTACTGGCACCATCAAAAGATATGGACTTACAATGTATATCATATTTTCTGGTATTATATCATAATGTTTCAAATATCATAATGTTATTAATGATGTTTTGTTTTGTAGCTCAAACCTGCCCTGACTTAGGAGTACCACTTGGTGGTGTAAGAGATTCAATTGCCTACAGTATCAACGACCAAGCTAAATTTAGTTGTCTGAGATCAGGCTTCCAGTTGAGTACTACTTCAGCAATAGCTTGTCTTCAAAATGGTGCCTCTGTACAATGGAATGAAACTCTACCGACTTGCCAAGGTATAATTTTATGTGTAGTGATTTAAAGCAAATTCAGAAACTCTTATGTTCACAATAATGATAGGCAGACCTTTAAAATCATCGTTCAATTTTCAGACAATATCCAATATTTCATGGCTTAATCCAAGCTTTGATAAACTCATATTGTTTATTTAACATTTAATGAAGAAAATAAAACTAAATTATCAGCGTAGATAATCTCCTTGCCAGGCCCAATTCAGTCAGAAATGAAATGAAATGAAATGGGGTTTAAAGTCCTACTGTTCTGCTCCGAACTGGGCTAATAAAGACGGGCCTATGCCATACAGTGTGATATGAGGGATTTTGCCCGGACAGTGGCACTATGGCCTACTCTTGTATCAAATTCCAATTGTCAAGTGATCTCGGTGTTTCGTCCCATCCGAACAACTAGACAGCTGTCCTTGTCAGACTCTCCGTCCTGCATCACTGACAAGGGAGAACCACGCCGAAAAATCTGGATGAACTTTCTCAGCTCTAAGCAGGGATCGAACACCCAACCTCCAGGCTAGCGAGCCAGCATCTTGCCCACTTAGCCACCGTGATCCCTGAATTCAGTCAGATTAAAAATGAAACTCATCAAGATATTTTACCAAAGACTTAAAGCTGGCACTGGCTTAATACTGGACATAATTGAACCAATTTTGGACTAATATTCCTTTAAGACATTCTCCTTTCACAATATTGTTGTTTGCAATATTAGTGACATTAGGTGCTAATATGAGATGTGTAATGTTACGAGTATGGGGTTTATACTCAGAGTTGGGTTTCAGTGATGGCTATCATAGCTATAATAAATTAATCCATGTTAATATCTGGCCATATATTTATAGTTATGTTTTTGATATTTCAGATGTTACTTCACCAATGTTTACCAACTGTCCACAAACACCCATTTCTATAACAAAATATGGAAGAGTCTCTTATACCATTCCTAGTGCTACTGATAATTCTAATTCTTTATCTGATCTAACTGTAAATCCAGCATATTTTCGACCTGATATACCGGTACCTGATAGTATTAAAGTAACTTACACAGCAACTGATCATTCTGGACAACAAGCTTTATGTAGTATTAATATTGAAGTTAAAGGTTTGTTTTAATTTCCTTTTCGGACTGGAAGTGTGACTGGGGTGTTTATGTGACCTGAGACATGCTTGTTAAATCATACAGCCTTTCATGGAGTCAAATGTTATGGTTTCAATCTCTGGCTTTTATGTGTAGAATTGCCTGCTTAACCTCAAATTCAGATTGTATTTCAAATGGTGATAGCTATAAAAGTAATTATTTTAACCATCCCAAATTTTCAACAGATTATAACATGAAGGTCAGGAATTGGACCATATAAAAGCGGTTGTAGTCCTCGAAAATTGAACTCCTTTCTGCTAAAGTCCCTTTAAATATAGTTGCCTGTCCAACCTCATGGGTTTTCACCGGGTCCTCTGGTTTTCTCCTCCTAACCTGGGCTAATGAAGATGGGCATACGCCATACAGTGTGCTATAAGGGAAATTTTGCCTGGGCAGCGGCGCTACAGCCTTCTCTAATATATCGAATTCCAACTGCCAAGGGATCTTTTACGTGCACCCCAATGTGTACACGGGACCTCGGTTTTTCGTCCCATCCGAACAACTAGACAGCTGTCCTTGTCAGGCCCTCCGTCAAGCATCACTGACAAGGGGAAACCACGCTGGAAAATCTGGATGAACTTTCATGGCCAATGCAGGGATCGAACACCCGACCTCCAGGCCAGCGGGCAAGCATCTTACCCACTTAGCCACATGATTCCCCCCCCCACTGCTTAAGACTGCTTCACTCAAGCAAATTGTTGAAATAAAATTGAACCATATGTTAGTTCCGAAATGATGTGGTTTGTGTCTCTAAATATATATTTACCTTTTGTTCTGCCTTGTTAAAGGTACTTCTCTGTTATACAGTTAGCTGCATAAATATGTATTTATTTTACTTACAGATGAAATCGCACCAACTGTTCAATGTCCAGCTTCTAGAACAATTGTTATTGAGAATGCTGCTCAGGCTACAACTGTAACATGGACAGACAATGATCTGGTCATTTTAAATGATAATGTTGGAGTGACATCAACAATATTCTCACCGTCATCTCTAGCATTAAGTTTGTCCGATGTAGGATCAGTTAATTCTGTAATAGCTCGAGTTCAAGATGCTGCTGGAAATATGGCTTCCTGTAGATTCCAAGTAACTGTTGGTATGTAGAGTTCCTGTGTATAATGTTTTCACCACATTGATATTAGTGCTTGATATTGCCACTGAAGTCACAATACAATACATATTGTGATTCTAGGGGTGTTGGATGGCAGAATGGTTAGCACGTGCGTGCTGTATCACAAGGTCTGTTATTGAGTCTGGAGCCACGGTGGCTAGGTGGTTAAGACACTGGCTCGCTAGCCTGGAGGTCGGGTGTTCGATACCTGCATTGGCCGAGAAAGTTCATCTTGATTTTCCGACATGGTTACCCCTTGTCAATGGTGCAGAACGGAGGGCCTGACAAGGACAGCTGTCTAGTCCTTCGGATGATATGAAAAACCAAGGTCCCGTGTATACATTGGAATGCACGTAAAAAAAAAAACCCTTGGCAGTTGGCATTCGATATAAGAGTAGGAGATAGTGCCACTGTCGGGCAAAATTTCCCACATGGCACACTGTATGGCGTATGCCCGTCTTCATTAGCCCAGTATTGGAGCAGAACAGTAGGACCTTAAAATCCATTTCATTTCATTTCATTTCTGTTATTGAGTCAATTGGTGTGGTTTCGATTGCCAGGTTGTACGTGAACAAGGAGTAGGGTCGCCTCTCCAACCTTGTGGGTTTTCTCTGGGTTATCCGGTCTCCTCCCACTGCTAAAGCTTTACAGTTTTAATCCCATGGTTGTATGTGACAAGGATTAGGTTCCTGATATTACATGGTTTGAATACTAAACTATAATTAAAAGTTAGCACAGGGCAGAACTAGCAGCTAAACAAATTGTAATAATTTCTAATGATTACTTAATGCAGTGATTCTCAACCAGTGTGACTCGAAATTTTGAACGGCATGCTAAGAAAATGGTAAAAATCATGTAATCCCAAGGTGTCTACTGATAACTTCATAGCTGTTTTTTTCTTTATTTAGTTTGTTATTCTATGTGTCTATGACTAGTCTCTGTCTACGGTTGTATGCCGTCTGAATGTTTTTATTTTGCAAAATTCATATATTTTTCATATATATGTTCTTTCATGTGTTCCAAGGTGTGCCTTTGGCAAAAAAAGGGTTGTGAACCACAGACTTAATTAGATTTTAGTGTATTGGGAATGTGACATCCCTTTTTGACTGCTCTGACAACCTAGCTGCTGTGGGCATATGTTTTATTACCTGGCAACCTATCTTTGTTTATTGAAGTGATAGTGTACTGTTTTATATTGAATTTTATTTTGATTTTAAGTTGGAATCTGTCAGCCTGATTATCTGGGAAAATCTATAAATGGAATAAAGAATTGTATGTTAAAGGGAAATGGTAATGGTTATACTTGTGCTATATCATGTAAGCAAGGATATTATTTTAAAAACGAATATCCAGGGGAAGTTTTCACCACAGAATGTGATTTTGGCGGAAATTGGACTCAAGGAGAAATACCTCATTGTGCAGGTAAGTTTTGATGTAAATGTTAGCTGGAATTATATATTGTTTTATATTATAAGTAACAAAAACTGTTATACTTCTTTGATAGTCAGTTATATTTATCAGCAAAGCAAAGTTTGAAATGATTGTTTTTATAATGAATAGTATGAATTTGGTGTCAATTGTCTTTGCCTTAACCGTCTTCATTAGCCCAGTTCGGAGCAAAACAGTAGGACGTTAAACCCCATTTCATTTCATTTCTTTGCCTTAAATACACCTTTATTAGTAAAGCAAAGTTTGAAATGATTATTTTTATAATGAATAGTATGAAATTGGTGACAATTGTTGTCGCCTTAAATACACCGTTATTGCGGACGGTTTATATTAACTTATGTCAATGAAAAGCTTTAAAGGGAGACTATTCCAGAAATAGCCATTAGAAAACTATACTTTATAGACATTCTAGGTTTTTTAAATGTTTTTCTATGGGCTGTGTCTTTACTGCTTTTCACATGATGTTTTGAGGTCATTAGTGCTGTGAAAGCCCGTATAACGCCTTACTGTATGGCACATTCTATTTGACTCAAAATCAAATCCTCAAAAATTTGCTTTCTGTGATGCTTATTTATAAATGTTGCTTTGTCATTTTAGCTTCAAATGCAGTTAATTTTGAGTTGGATGCCGATCTGTTTTATAATACATCATCTAACAGTCCTTTATCTTCTACTTGTGTTAACTCATATAGAGGTGAATTATCGACCCGACTTGTTAACTCGGCATCACATCTTAATACATACTGTAATAACGGACAGGTATCTGTCTCTGTTATACAGTCTTCTATTAATATTACCTATGATCAAAAGGTAGGTAAATGATACATTAATTGTACTAGGCAGACTGGTTTCTGGTTGTCTAAATATTGTTAAGTTAGGCATACGTTAATTTTTAGAACATGAAAAAGTAACAAACTTTATTAGGGCTGGGGAGCCATGGTGGCTATGTGGGTTAAGATGCTGGCTCGCTATCCTGGAGGTCGGATGTGCGATCCCTGCATTGGCCAAGAAAGTTCATCAGGATTTTCCGACGTGGTTTCCCTTTTTCAGCTGTCTAGTTATTCGAATGATCCGAAAAACCGAGATCCTGTGTATACATCGGTGTGTACGTAAAAGATCCCTTGGCAGTTGGAATTCAATATAAGAGCAGACCATAGTGCCGCTGCCTGGTTAAAATTTCCCGCATAGTATACTGTATGGCGTATGCCTGTCTTCATTAGCTCAGTTGAAGCAGAACAGTAGGATGTTAAACCCCATTTCATTTCATTTATTAAGACGTTATTAAGTAACAAATTACTAAGAAATATTTTTCGTTGAAGCATGTTAAAGGGAATGGAAGCACATTCGCTCTATTGCTAGTAACCCAATTCTGACCTCTGTTAACTCTTATTAATGAAATCTAGTGACTTTTGTGTGAGGGGAGCTGCAGTGGCTCAGTGATATAAGACTGGAATTCGATATAAGAGTAGGCTGTAGCGCCAGTATCCGGGCAAAATTTCCCTCATAGCACACTGTATGGCGTATGCCGGTCTTCAATTAGCCCATTCAGAGCAGAACAGTAAGATGTTAAACGTCATTTCTTTTGTATGAGTGTAGCCTACTGGAATTTAGTAATATGTCTTAATGTAAGCAAATTTTGTAACAGGTATATTTTTATTGAAATATGTCTGAAAAGTTTAATTCATTCTCAGAAATGAATAATTACTGTCAAAGCTTTATTGGGTTTGCCAATATAAAAATGTAAGCATTGATTAATAATTTTTTTTTTCAATTTTCAGTTGCATGCATTTTTTAAAGTGGAATTTACATCCAGTGCTTTTATTCAAAATATACATTCAGTGTGTGTACAGCAGGTTATCCGAGCTATTGAGGGTATTACAGCCAACGCCGCTCAATCACTTTTGTCAAATATCCACACCTTGCAAACGATTGGCTGTGAAACTATTGTCCTTAACATAAAGGATGTACGTAATCGACAATTTTGTAAATTTACAACAGAAAGTCCACGCAGGGTTAATGATGTATACATCTGCAGTAAGTATAATTAAAAACTTTATCCTTAAAGTCTCCATGCTGACGGATAATAAACACTTTCCTTATTTAAGGATTTGAAAGTGTTTTTAGGTAATAATTTATATGATTAGATCAAAGCACATAGGATTAGATACTATCTTGAGCTTGATGTTCATGGACAGAAATGATATACCATTCAGTCGTCAATAAAATAGAAATTTTAGATGGCCATAACTTCTGTTTGGATTGATTAGTTTTTCGGCCTGATATACTTTAAAGCAATTGCTGGTGGGACAGCTGGCAGCGAGGACAATTGCCATCAAACGACTGCCGACATTATTATTTGTTTTTCCATATTTATGTTCTTTTTGTTAAATATAACCAATACTTAATACTTAAATATTCTTTATTATTATCATACAGCACTAATCTTTGATATAGAATTAGGTTCAGTTTGCTTCACAAATTGTCTATAATAGCATCCAGTCACTGACATAAAGTTATCACACTTTCTATAATAGCACATTGGCTATAACTGACTATTTGTAAAAATATTATTTGAACCAACTCACGTAGGAAATGATTGGCATATATACAGGTGAAACAGCATCCTTGATTAATACTAATTTTTGTAACGTAGTGATATGCAATAGTTTGGATATCGTCACTATTAAAAAATTAGTATCAGCATTTTAATTAAAGGGGCGAATAACCAATTACCTGGTTTCATTCATAAGATAATGCACGTTTACAAATTGTTAAATAAGTAAAAATTAAAGCATGAAAGATTAAATACTGTGAAAGTAAAAATCAGTACTGTAATTATTTGTGCTATTTTTCGGTGAAAGATCTTCCTAAACTGTTCTTGTGTGATTTTGTCTTAAATGGTAATGTGTTTTAAATATACACAATAAAAAGTAATTCATAGTATGTGTTTTAAATGTGCGTAATATAAAATAATCCATAAGGTTTTAATGTATGTAATAAATGCAATTCATAGTGTCATGGCTGTTTCTAGTTAGTTAGACTAATATACATTCTTTCTTTATAGTTCCATGTACAGCAGGAACAATTAAGACTAATGCTGGAACTTGTGAGAAGTGCCCTGTTAATACTTACCAGGCAGGTAGTGATAATTCCTTCTGTCAACCATGTCCTGTGGATAAGGCTACTGATGGCACAGGAAAAACTAGTGTATTAGATTGTCAAGGTGGGTTATTTAATTGGTATTATATTATTTATTCAAATATAGCATATACAGATAACATGAAAGTAGTTTATTCACTGTGATGTCATAACTCCAAATGTATTTGTTACCAACCATTACATGTTCTGTTTATTTTATAGACAACTGTGTTTCTGTCAAATACAAATTCAATTTTGGAAGAATAAGTCACAAAAAACAATGGTGATGCTATGCTAAATATACTATTCAAAAAAAGTAGGGGATATTTGATTTTTAAGTGTTATTAAAGTCACCTAATGAAACTGACGAAGAAACAAATGACAAAATGAAATGAAGTTCACATTTATCGATTTATTCCAAATGATCGTTAGACTAAGTAAGGCACAGACTGACCATTATAAGGGTAAAATGATACCCGGGGTCAAACAGCAAAGTTACCACAGCATCACAACCAAGTCAGTAACGGGTAAATCCTCCTCTATTTGCCAAACAAGCATTGATCCGACGTGGCATACTCCTAATGAGACGTCTAAGGTCATTTTGGTCCAGATTGTCCCATTCCTGTTGCAACGCAGCAGCAAGTTCTTGGACATTGGCAGGACGTTGTTGACGTTGACGTAACCTCTGTCCAAGCATGTCCCAGACATGCTCGATGGGGGAGAGGTCGGGACTCAGTGCTGGCCAAGGTAATGTGGTGATGTTCTGTTGTTGGAGGTAACCTGTAACGATCCTGGCCCTGTGACATCTTGCGTTGTCATCCTGGAAGATGAAACGGCGGCCATGACGTCGTGCGAACGGCACAACATGGACTGCCAAGATGTTGTCCCGGTAGTACTGGCCTGTAACACGCCCTGCAACAACATGTAAAGCCGTTCTTCCAGCAACAGTGATGCCTCCCCACACCATAACAGAACCACCCCCAAATCGATCATGTCTGATGACGTTAACGTCTTGGAAGCGCTCGTTTCGACGACGCCACACCCTCCTACGTCTGTCCAAAAAATCAACAGTGAACCTTGACTCATCTGAAAACATCACATTGCTCCAGCATCGATTATCCCAGTGTTGACGATCCCTACACCAACGACGTCTTGCCTGAATGTGATGATCTCTCAAACAAGGGATCACGCGAGGACGTCGGGCGCGAAGGTGACCCCTATGCAGTCGATTCCGAATCGTCTGGCCACTCACTCTCACACCAGTGTCTGTTTGAAGACGAGCGCTGATCTGATTTGCTGTGATGACACGATTTCTCAAGGCCAAGGTACGGATAAATCGATCCTGGGCTTGAGTTGTCGCCCTTGGTCGACCTGAGCGTGGTCTGTCCTGTACAGATTGTGTATCACGGTATCTGGACCATAGCCTGCTTATGACAGACTGAGAAACATTCATCGTCCGCGCCACAACCGCCTGTGTTGTGCCGATCTGTAGCATGCCAAGGGCACGTAACCTTTCATTTTGGGTAAGCCGACGCATATCAAAATTTGTTTTCTGGTCACTAAAACAATTAAACTGATGTTTCCACCCTGTAATTCAATGCCACAATGACTGTAACATTCAAAGTCTGAGTCGTGCAAATCTTGGGTTGGACCCCCATGATGATCCCAAGCATCACCTGCATTCCATGCGGTAGCTATTGGTGCGTTTGGGCGTCACATGTAACTGGAAATGTTTCTTCTGTTAGGTTCTATAGTGACTTTTTTCGTAGTCATTTGCATATTTTAGTATTATGCCCCCAAAATCAAATATCCCCTACTTTTTTTGAATAGTATATGTTATGACCTTCATTACACTTTAAAAGGTTCAATATAAATTTTCTAAAAAAAACAGATGTCTTAATAAGACCTGTAACTCTCCATTTTTATGGGGATTTACAGTCGCTCGTCAGTGTGTAAGGCACTGGCTTACTAACCAGGAAGTCCCAGGTGTGATCCAGGTGTTGGACTAGAAAGTTTGTTAGGATTTTCTAGTCTGGTTTCCCTTTGACAGTTGTGCAGGGAGGAGAGCCTGGCTAGAAAGATGTGTCTTGTTGTTCTGATGTAAAGGAAAATAGAAGTCCTCTAGCGTACGTAAAAGAAGCCTTGACCTTTGGAATTCAATGTAGAGCGGGTAAAGTTCTCCCATAGCACATTATAGATATGTACTGAAGATTGAATATTAATAATTGATCTCAAAGTGTTAAAATGGAGAAATTTAAAAAATCACTTAAGGTGAATTAGCATTCTGATTATTTGTTAAAAATGCTTGTTTTTTTAGGTATCTGTACTGGTAATCTGGTATCTTCTAGTGGATTACCTCCGTGTCAAGAATGTCCATCTGATACCTATCGTGTTAATAGTACATACTGTAGTCAATGTCCCGTTAATACCAGATCTGTTGGTAGAGAAAATCCATTGTATCCAGAATGTAATAGTAAGTCTTATAATTATTATTTCACATTTTTATGATATAGTTTTATTAACCCTTTAGTCCGGAACCACCTTAACCAAGTCTTCTTACTGCCCTGTAAGTTGCACAGCTGTCATACCTCCACAAATGAGTAATTATTGGTTATATAATACGAAAAGCTATTCAGATGTCTTGGGTGGTTTGAGGCAGACTAAGGAATATCAGTTTCAAACTGTTTCAGTCTGTTCAGAGATGTATTGGTATTAATATATGTCTAATTTTCTTCAAAGAACTGGGATAGTCGATATTTATCTATACCAAGAGTTAAACTGAAACTAACAGTGTGTATTGTAATGATTAAACACATTGTAAGTTTCTGGGTGTTGTAATCAAACCTGAACACTTGTAATTTTATACTTGTCCTCAAAACTAAAATACAGGTATTTGAATTTAAACTGTTCTCATGTCTCTCTGTCCATTCTGTCTCCAACATAAAGTTTAACATTAATGATTTTAGTCTCGTACTGCATTCAGATTGGTGAATGTCCATTAAACTATTAATATATCAAAATAAGTCTATAGTTGGAGTCCAACATCAATGCCATCTGTGTATGTTTAATGACCTTACTTCAATCTGATTGGTAACTATGGTATATGTTGCATTCACTGTAATCCATCCTTCCTGTGAAAACACAATTCACTGATCAGGGGACCTCGGCTAACTCAGCTTTGTAACATATGTTTTTAGTGTTAAAATGAATTTGTTGAACATATTGAACTTAAATGATAAATTACATTTCGCTTTTTAAATTTTAGATCCATCATGTACGTATGAAAAGCAAGAGAACAAATTATTGGGAAATGAAGTTGTTAGTAATTTACGATCTACAGATTCTACCCTAGATAATTGTAAAGAATCTTGTAATAAATATAGTATTTTTGGACAGCCAGAGTGTATAGGATTTGATTATGATAAACAAAATAATCGATGTAAACTGATGACAATAGATGGTACGCCACAAGACAATGTTCAACATGATTTCTACAAAAGAACATGTATCAGAAGAACGGATCAAGGTAACAATCTGACTTTAGTTTTAGATTGTAGTCATATTTGAAAAAGGGAGTTTGAAAAATATACTAGTTTTACAGAGTGTAAATTGACTAATGGGTCCTGAGACATTTCGGTCAATTTGTTTATCAATCGGTCATGACAGGCATATATTTGTGATCTGTAACCCATGGGTTGGTTATATGACTGTACTATTATAACCTCTATGCTTTATTTCAATGGGGGGTTGGATGGCCAAATGGTTAGCATGTGCGTGCTGTATCATAAGACCTGTCATTGAGTCAACTGGCGTGATTTCGAATCCCAAGGTGTACGTGACAAGGAGTAGGGTCGCCTGTCCAACCTCGTGGGTTTTCTCCGAGTCCTCCAGTTTCCTCCCACTGCTAAAGACCCCTACGCGCAAGCGAATTATTGAAATAAAATTAAACCATATGTTAGTCCCGAAATGACCTAGTTTGTGTCGAATGGGCGTTAAACCCCATTTCTCTCTCTCTCTCTTTTATTTCAATATTTTGACTTTGAATCTGGGCTGACATCAAATATAATGCTTGTGATAACTTAAAGCAGATCTTAAGTTTCTCAGAAAAAAACATCTTCTAAAATCTCCAGTCATTAACATACAACTTGGAAAACGTCCTTTTTCTTATGGGGGATCACTCGCTAGCCTGGAGGTCGGGTGTTCGATCCCTGCATTGGCCGAGAAAGTTCATCCAGATTTTCCGGCGTGGTTTCCCCTTGTCAGTGATGCAGGACGGAGGGCCTGACAAGGACAGCTGTCTAGTCATTCGGATGAGACGAAAAACCGAGGTCCCGTGTAAACATTGGAATGCACGTAAAAGATCCCTTGGCAGTTGGAATTCGATATAAGAGTAGGCGATAGTGCCGCTGCCCGGGCAAAATTTCCCTCATAGCACACTGTATGGCGTATGCCCGTCTTCATTAGCCCAGGTTAGGAGCAGAACAGTAGGACGTTAAACCCCATTTCATTTCATTTCATTTCCTTTTTCTTATGTTGGTCCTTTTCTATGGAATAGACTACCACAATCAATGAAACAATTACCGTCTGTGGGCCATTTTAAATCTCAACGCAAAACATTCTTATTTCAAAACCCTGATCTGTAAATAATCAGTGAATATAAATAACCATTTTATTATTATTATTATTATTAAGTTATATATCTGTGTTAAAGACTTTTAGATCCTTTTACTATGTTCTTAAGCTGTTCAGTAGAACTCCTTAATTAGCAATCACCCTGTGTGTGGATTAACCTGTCTATAATTTGTATGTGTCTGTCTACAGGTCAGAGATTTTTTTTTTTTGAAATTTAGTTTTAAATTTGACATGGACTTAATCATTGGTCATAAGTAAGACCCCTTCTGAAATTTAAAAATTTTGGTCGCTTATCGCTGAGTTATCCCCTAGTCTACTTTGGAATCTATGAAATCTTTTGAACAGTGATTAAGTTCAGATTTCTTGATATAATATTTTGAAACTTGGCGGCCAGGATTGTTTATTAGGGCATACGATAGAACCGTATTGAATTGCAGAATTTTAGGACTGTAAATTTGGGACCTATTTTCCGAGTTATTTTTACATTTAAAGTTCAATATCAAGTTTATAACAGATTTTTTAAAATTTTCTCTGTGAGATTTGTTGAAAATGATTTTAGATTTAGCATATACAACTTTGCTGGTGGGCATATATTGGTCTATGTTATTTAAGTTGGTCAATGTTATCAATGTCTGGTTGATACAGATAGAACTGTCACTGATTATTTCAATGTAGAGCAAAGTAAAAATCAGCAGAAAAGATGTAACGAAATTGTAATCTATATCTAATTACATTGGACAGTTATTGGCTATATTCCCATCAAGTGATCTAATTTTGATTATTTTTAACAGTTATTGGTTATATGCCCATCAAGTTATATTGGTTGTATAACCATCAGATTATATAGGTTATACACCCATTAAATTATATTGGTAATATTCCCATCAAATTATATTGGTTATAAAGCCATCAAATTATATTGGTGATATTCCCATCAAATTATATAGCTTATATTCCCATTAAGTTATATTTATTATATCACAATCAGGTTATATTGGTTATATTCCCATCAAGTTATATTGGTTATATTCCCATTAAGTTATATTTTGCATGTTGTATATTTCAGAATGTTATTGTGCTGGACTATGTCCTGCTGGTCAGTTCTCCTTTACTGGTCATTTACCAGATTGTCGAAATTGTCCAAAAGGATATTACACATCTCAACCAGGGTCAAATCAATGTCTGGCTTGTCCAACAGAACAGACAACTGTAGGGGAAGGATCTACTTCATGTGTTCCTGGAGGTAGGTCAAGTCCTTTTAATCTTATCGTTTACAAAAAACATATAATAATAAAGATATCAAAGGCTGATATTAATATATTAAATATATTATGTTGAATTACACAGTATTTTACAAAAAAACATATAATAATAATAACAAAGATATCAAAGACTGATGTTAATATATCAAACCCCTTGGGCGTTATGTTGAATTACACAGTATTTAACATTTAAAAATCTTACTACATTATGGATGGAATCGATGATAAATCTAAACTTGGGCACCCCAACCCTTTTTACTTTGTTATGTATTATAATGATGTCCATTCATTTAAAAATTGGAAATTTTATAACTAAGATCGCAATAAATTGATGGTAGCGTTTCGTATTCAGTGGGTCAAGAATAATCTTGAGATTTTTCAAACCCTATTCTCACTTGTCATAAAGTTTAGATGTTGTGTTGGTATACACATAGAAGAACTCTGTACTCTTGGAATTTGATAAAGAGTAGACCAAAACGCTACTGTTTGTGTAAAATTCCACTTTTCACTTCCTAGCATTCCTCATATGACCATAGAAAAAATTGTATGTTAATTCCCAAAAATGACCAAAAGTTGAAATTCATTCTATCTGTCTATATATTATTTATTCACAGCAAGTTTTATATCTAAGATTAACAATAATGGTGGTCTTACAACATGGTAATATGTATTGTATGTGTAATTTATTTTATTACAGCACCTCTTCTATGTGGTTTGTGTAAGAATAATGTGACTTGTACCGTAACTAATAATTTACCAATGTGTCAGTGTCAACCAGGTAATAATACAGTTTTAACCTCTGAACTTATTACAAATATCCATTTAATTATATTCTTCACATTAACAAATCACTAATTATCTTATGTATGCCTATGTAATAATTATTACATGGATATTCGCTGGTAGATAGGAGAACAAAGTAATTAATATAAAGGTAACCAAAGGCTGATGTTAATCTAAAGATATCATTAATATAAAGATATCAAAGGCTGATGTTTAAAGAGATACCATTAATATAAAGATATCAATATAATGATATCAAAAAGCTGATAATATAAAGATAACATCATTATAAAGATATTTAAGGCTTTATCTAAAGATATCAACCAATGATTTTGATATAAAGATATCAAAGATGAACTTAATATAAAGATATCAAGATACAATGTTAATATAAAGATATCAACATATGATTATAATATAAAGATAATCAAAGACTAATAGGTTAATATAAAGCCAAAGTGGTAAAGTTAATATACAGATAATTTTATCAACACTTCTTTCTTACCACACCCAGATCCCCCTGTCGTAAAGACAATGGATTTGAGGAGCTAAATATACTACAGGTCTATCTCTATTTTATATTACTTTCGGTTTTTTTTTTATCTTCAGGTTATACAGGAGTATATTGTGAAACAGTGATTGATTATTGTGCATCACAACCGTGTTATCATAATGCACCATGTACCTCTAATACAAATGGTTTCACTTGTCAGTGTCCTCTAGGTAGGTCAACATTATAAAGGAGAAATTAAAATGTTGTCCTTTTTTACATACACAATCCAAAGTGCAGATGGTTTCATCTTTAATGTGATGTTATGAGAAAAACTGTCATTTTCTGTAAATAAACAGACCAGTAATTATGTGATATATTATTAACCAGTATCCCTTCTCTGTAAATAAATAGCTGCATGGATGGTTGAAACTATTTTAATACTTTATTATGAATGACATTTAGGAAATATTTTGACAGGAGTTCCCCTTTGAGTCCTTCGCTTAGAAATCAGAATAATGATTTGTTATTTTTGTACAATTACAAGAGTCAACATTCTTAAAAATATTTGTTGTATACTTGCATTATAGCTCTTAACAATATTTATTGTATTCTTGCATTATAGCTCTTAACAATATTTGTTGTATTCTTGCATTATAGCTCTTAACAATATTTGTTTATATAGGTACTAATGGTGATAGATGTGAAGTTAATAACAATGATTGTATAAGCAGTACATCATGTTTAAATGGTGGAGTATGTGAAGATGGTGTTAATTCTATAAACTGTCACTGTTTACCTGGTTATACTGGAGTCAAGTAAGATTAATAAAACATTATCAATATTTTTATAATGACAAATATCATATTCTTTGCCTCATTTCCTGTTGGATGGAAAAAATTAAGAAGACCCAGCGTGCCAGAATAAAAGTTAAATATAGGGTTTAAGACCACATGTTATCAAAAGTACTTTTATTTTAAAACATTATAGACCAAACATCATTCAAATCAATTCTGTTTTAACTTGATTTAACTTATGGTCATTTTGAATTTACATTGATGTGTATCTTCTTTGATTGGCGGGGGGTTGGATGGCTGAATGGTTAGCATGCGCGCGCGAGCTGTATCATAAAGTCTGTCATTGAGTCAGCTGGCGTGGTTTCGAATCCCCGGTTGTACTTGGCAAGGAGTAGGGTCGCCTGTCCAACCTCGTGGGTTTTCTCCGGGTCCTCCGGTTTCCTCCCACTGCTAAAGACCCCTACGCGCAAGCGAATTATAGAAATAAAATTAAACCATATGTTAGTCCCGAAATGACCTAGTTTGTGTCGAGTGGACGTTAAACCCCATTTTTCTCTCTCTCTCTCTTTGATTGGCATTTAATAATTGAACAATTTTTGTGGATACACAATTACTGAGTTTATTACTAAGCAAGGTTTTGACAAGGATACTCTCATCTTTATCAAGCAAATGATACAGATATGTGAATGGTAGTCAAATATATACAAAATATGCAACAAAAATAACAATCAAATACAAATCCATTGGGAATTTTGGCACTATCTCTGCATCACATTAAAAATGTCAAATTGTTGCAAAATCTAATATACTTGCCCTCTGATTTACAATCTGGTTCATTAGTCTGGTAGCCATATCTTCATATTGTTGATTTTTATCTTCTTTGATTGGCATTTAGTAATGCCTGTAGACTTTTATACATAGATGTGTTTAATTATATAATAATAAACTGTAGACTTATTCTTGTAAATTTTCTGTAGGTGTGTATTCTAAATAAACTTAGGGATTGCGAAAGCGACATTTGATAAATCACTGATTTATAACAGTTATAGGTCTTCTGCAACCTGTATCATAATGATATATCTAACGTTTTGATATTTTGTTCTACTTTCACTTTGTTTTGAAATAAATGACTTCTAAGTTGTCTTTATATCCATTAAAGTTAATGTAAAGAATAGCATAAAAAACCATTCTAGTTCCATAAATTCACTTAAGAAAGTCTGTAAGTATTGGCACAATTGTGTGCAAGAGGTGCATTTGAGAAAATAAGGAAAATAATATTGATAAAGTATTTTATTATATTACAGTTGCCAGATACAGATCAATATTTGTCAAGCTAAGCCTTGTCAAAATGGTGGAGCATGTGTAGCAGTTAATCAAGTTCTACGACATTGTAATTGTTTAACAGGATTTACAGGACCAAGTTGTGAGACAAACATAAGTAAGTTGTGAGGGAAATCTAAGATGTAAAAAAAAACATTTTAAGTTCCGAAATGAACAGAACTAATTTGTAAGACAAACTGAACTATATCCATGAAACAAACATAACTAATTTGTGAAACAAACTTAATTAATGTGTGATTATACAAACATAAGTAAATTTAGAGATAAACATAAATAAGTTATGACTACAAGAAGGTTGTGAATTAACTTAACTAAGTTATGATACCAACATAAACTGTGAGACAAATAGATAAGCTGTGATGCAAACCAAATTAGATTATGTAACAAACATGAATACAAATCTTATAATCTTGTGAGTAAGTAAGTAAAAGTTGTATTACAAATCTTAATACATTTTGAGTCAAATCTTAGTAAGTTTTGATATACACATCTTAGTAAGTTTTGATATACACATCTTAGTAAGTTTTGATATAAACATCTTAGTAAGTTTTGAATGGAATTTTTATTTAGATTGTATGACAAATGTAATTAATTTTTGATACAAATGTAATTAATTTTTGTGTGACAAATGTAATTAATTTTTGTGTGACAAATGTTATTAAGTTTTGAGACAAATGTTATTAAGTTGTGAGACAAACATATGTAAGTAAATATTAAATTTTAATATAAAAGAAAGTAAATTGTGATACAAAAATTTCTTTTAGATGAATGTGACTCTTCTCCTTGTATGAATGGAGCACCATGTATTCAGGGTGTTGGTACTTTCACTTGTTCTCCATGTCCTGAAGGTTACAGAGGTCAACTATGTAATATACCAGATAGATCATGTTCTACAGCTAATTGTGGTTTTGCCACCGAATGTGTTGATGAGTTAGATGTAGGTTTACCTAGATGTTTATGTCAACAAGGTTATAGTTATGGTAAGAATTTGTTTGTAGCAAATCTCCTTTATCTATGAAGTAATTCTGTAGAGAGAAAGAGAAATTCAGTTTAACGTCCACTCGACCCAAACTAGGTCATTTCAGGACTAGCATATGGTTCAATTCTATTTGAATAATTCTCTTGTGTGTAGGAGGCTTTTAGCAGTGGGAGGAAGCCAGAGGGCCCGAGAAAACCCACATAGTTTGACAGCCTCCTTGTCTTGTACAAGCTGGGAATTGAAACGTGCATTAGACCATTCAGCCCATAATAAAAGATCTACTGTATCTTAACATATCCTGGGGGTCACGGTGGCTAAGTGGGTAAGTCGCTGACTCGCTAGCCTGGAGGTCAGCTGTTCGATCCCTATATTGGCCAACAAAGTTGATCCAGATTTTCTGGCGTGGTTCCACCTTGTCAGTGATGCAGGACGGAGGGCCAGACAAAAACTAAGGAAGGGACTGTGTATACATTGGGGTGCACGTAAAAGATCCCTTGACAGTTGAAAGTCGATATTAGAGTAGGCTGTAGTGCCGCTGTCCGGGCAAAATTTCCCTAATAGCGCACTGTATGGCTTTGCCCGTCTTCATTAGCCCAGTTCAGAGCAGAACAGTAGGACGTTAAACCCCATTTAATTTCATTTTATTTTTTAACATATCCAAGCAAATGAACAAGATTCGTCAGAATGTGTATGATAATCTGTGATGAAGCTGAGACTATACAATTACACCAGAGTAATTGTCCATGATAAAACCTGAATTTTAGCCTGTTATTTGTCAGGTGGCTTAATTTACAGATTTGGGAGACATAAATAGGAACGAAATAAATCTAGCCATGATTTTATTTATGGAGAAAAATCTGTGTCTCACAAAATGGCTGACACCAGGGTAATTGTGCCTGACAAAATGGCTGACAGTAGAGGAATTGTGGATGAAACAATGCCTTAATTTTGATTCTGTGAGTATATTAACAGGCTCAATATAAATATGGTTTAATAACCCATCATCAATCTTTTTTTTTTTCAGGTCAATTTTGTCAGTATGATTTAAAACTATCAAGAACATCAAGTAGTGGATTATTAGGATCTGTTTTAAGCAATATAAATAATGTAATGGAGTGTATGACACAATGTGAATCTTCAGCTAATCGTGTAGCTTGTGCTGCTTTCGAATATAATAGCAATGCTAGAACCTGTCAGCTACTTTCATCAACCTACTCCCTTGTGGCCAGCACAACGTCTAATGTATATATCAAACAATGCTTCCATCCAGCAGGTAAAAAATGTCTTTATTTTCTCTTAAAAAATATAGGAGAGTTTGTTGGCCGAGTTTAATAATGTACACATTCTGGTTCATAAGGCCTGTGTGGAATTCATGCATTTCATACCCTGTTTCTGTGTGACACGGAGTAGATTCACTTGCCTAGCCTTATTGTGGTTCTCCCATAGTACTCTGATTTCTTCCCACTTTTAAAGAAATTATTGAAATAAACGTATATTAGTTCTTAGTCTTTATAAAGAAATGATGAGTTGAGATTTTTATATCTTTTTGGGCACCCAGTGCAGTCGATATAAACAGCTCTTTTTATAAAATATTGTCGCAATCCCTTTTAGGCCATTACATAAAGCTATGAATAGTACCTATGTAGTGTAATTTTTTATCTGCTAGTTACATAATACCGTATTCATTAGACAAGTCTGAACAGAACAGTCGGATGTTAAACCCCATTTCATTTCAGTAACGTAGTATTTTTTTTTATTTTTATAAACAATATTTTTATTCAGGATGTCTTAATGGGATTGGGGAACAGGCTTAGCCTATGTAAAACCCCTCCCCCTTACGTATATTATCAATGTAGTGCAAACTGATAACTGCTAGTATATTTTTATCATTACAGATGATTTTTGGACACCATATTACAGTATTGATACACCCTCAGGTGCCATTGAATTAGAATCAAAATCACAGCTGTTGAGTTTGGTAAGCTATTTCTTAGCCAGGCTTATTGATTTGAATATAAACTTAATATTGTCAGTCAACAATAATATTCATTGAAGACTTATAAAATTTATACTGAGTTTAAACTTATGGCATTATTTTATATCCCAAAGCTGCAAATCTGCAATTTCATAACCTGACTTGGTGATGTATATGCAACTAGACAGAGAGCAAAAAGAGCAAGTTATCCATATGAGTACATTTTTCAAAAGTGGTACCTTTTCAACAATTTTTCAGTTCTTATTATTGCATGGAATGACTTTCTGGACACTTTACTTTATTCAAATAATCTCTTTGTTCTTTGATTGATTTATAAAAGTGAAATAATTATTTAGAATTTAGAATTATTCTGTATGTGATGGCAATGTTCTTGCTCACTCCCTTTAACATCAGAGCCTGGCTACGTCCATGTGAAGTGTATCTGTTTAAACAGAAGACAATCAATTGAGATTAAACCAACTCAATGGGTTTTATAATTTCAATTCTGCAACATGACCAATTTGACAAACTCACTTGGCACTGAGGTATTCCATGAACTTAAAGCCTTAATGTGCCATTCTGTCAATAATCATTTTAAAGGGGTATTTTTTATGAAATAAAGATTTAGAATTTTTCTTTCACTGGTAATCTAGCAGATAAAAACTGTAAACATAGGAAGCTATTTTGATCTTGATGTCTGCGGTTAGGCATTGGTTAAAGATTTGTATTATTTTTACAGCATAATATTAATGTTTGTGGAGGTACTACACCGGTGCAAACTGACTGTCATGTTATTGGAGGTGGGTCATTACCTACTGGTGTACAGTGTACCTCTGAGGGAGTAAGCTGTTCTGGTAGTTGTCCTGATATAGAAGTCAGATACAGATGTAGTCTTGCTAGAGGTAAATTGTTTTGTACATTTAACTACACTTTACCATATTGTATGTTTGTTTTACAAAACTGAGACATTTATTGGCCCTGTCACACTATTGCATATCGTACTAGCGTATGCCAGCATTCGAAATATCACTCACACGCTGGTATACTCTGACATATGGTAAGAGACGTTGTATACGTTTCAAACATGTTCACATACAGTGTCATATTACAGCGAGGCAGAAATTCTTTTTTAATCATGCTTCAAAATTTTGTGCATATTCTGACGTAAGGTTAATACGCTAAGCATATGTATGTTACTCATAGGTCAAGTATGCTGGTCATGATGGTTTACCATACATCTTGGTGTATACCTGACGATTGAGTAACATATTTAACATACAACTAGTGTATGATTGGTATATCCCCAGTGTATTGCCAGAGTTTTGAGAAAATGTAATTATAGGCTCCCATTTGTCATGTGATGGCTCAATACAGTAATTCTATATTTTCAAGGGTATTTTGTAAATTTTCTTTAATAATTTTCATGCACAACTCGTTGGTTTCTCACATGCGCAATAGTGTGACCAGGCCATTACCAACTAAACTGAATAGCGAATTTGCTGTCTTACTTTGTGTTTGTTTGAAAACTGTGTTAAATGGTTTTAAGCCTCATTTTCTGTCCATATTTCCTGTTGTTTTGATCTAAGGGGAGATAATAAGGCTTTAATTTACCGGAGGAAGACCACCAGACTTTTCCTGATTTGGTAGGCTGCATCCATACAAAGTTGCCTCCCTTAGTAGACTGTAGTCCAGGGAAATTTTGGGTATATTTATTTTGATATCTATTTGTAGTATTTAAAGATAAACAGTGTATACAACAAGATCTTTGCTCTGAGAGATGTGACGCCAACCATATTTGTCACATAGTAGGAGGAGAGTTGATGTGTAAATGTCGAACAGGGTATACAGGAGTCAACTGTGATCAAGATATCAACGAATGTACTGCATTAAGTATATACTGTAACACTGGTACTTGTAATAATTTCCCTGGATCTTACAACTGTTCTTGTCCTTCTGGATATACAGGTGAGTCTAATAAGTTTTGAGTTACAGGAACACCTTTCTCTTGGTCATAATTCCAGAGCTATATTGTGTCAATAAATATTATAATTGATATCAGAGTAACGTATAACTTAACACACGACACAATTATATGGAATACAAGTTACTTGAAGAGTTTATTTCAGCGACGTTTCGATGAGGGTTCTCCCGTCTTGTCAAGCAAAGAATAACTTGTAACTTGTAATAAATTTTTATACGACCACATTTTCATGTGAACATATATTGTCGTCACCCCTGTCCATCTGGATGTCCGGTATGTCTGTTTGTTCGTCCACAATTTGTATCTTATTTTGACGAAACTTGAAATATAGGCTTATCTCCCAAAGATCATGGTTCCTTGGTATGTGTTGGACTGTTTGATTTCATACTAAGATGATAACTATGCAAATAGTTTATGTCGGAGCCTTGGAAGCTACATGAATAATATGAATATTTTAAAAATGGTATCAGTATTGACATATAGATAATAGAGTTTTGACACTACGATAATTGGAATTTCATTGGGCAAGATTTCTACGGTCTCTGTCACAATTTGGTGGCCAAATGTGGTAATTCACAGATAATGCACTAAATTTAAAAGAATTAAATGGATTGAATTTGTCATATATTCTAGAGTTCACCTATATCAATTTTAGCCCTGATTTTATAATATTTTTCAGGTAGTTTTTGTGAGAATGTACTAGTACCATGTGACAGTAATTTATGTAATCCTGGTAATACCGCTAACTGTATAAATACAGGTACAACCTACAGGTGTGATTGTAAACCTGGATTTAAAGGAGATCGATGTGATGTACGTAATTAACATTTATATCTTATATAATGCACAACCTACAAATATTCTTGTCATATAATCTACATTTAGGATTTTTTAATATAGGAATGAAACTATGACATCTAAGACAGAGAGAGAGAGAAATGGAGTTTAACGTCCACTCGACACAAACTAGGTCATTTCGGGACTAACATATGGTTTAATTTTATTTACATAATTCGCTTGCGCGTAGGGGTCTTTAGCAGTGGGAGGAAACCGGGAGGACCCGGAGAAAACCCACGAGGTTGGACAGGCGACCCTACTCCTTGCCACGTACAACCGGGGATTTGAAACCACGTTAGTAGACTCAATGACAGACTTTATGATACAGCGCGCGCACGCTAACCATTCAGCCATCCAACCCCCCCTATGACATCTAAAGATTTACAGTTTCTTTATCTGTAGAATACATAGAAATGAAATGAAATGAAACGGGGTTTAATGTCCTACTGTTTTGCTCCGAACTGGGCTAATGAAGACGGGCATACACCATACAGTGTGCTATGAGGGAAATTTTGCCCGGACAGCGGCACTACGACCTACTCTTATATCGAATTCCAACTGTCAAGGGATCTTTTACGTGCACGCTAATGTGTACACGGGACCTCGGTTTTTCGTATCATCCGAACGACTAGACAGCTTTCCTTGTCAGCCCCTCCGTCCTGCATCATTGACAAGGGAGAATCACGCCGGAAAATCTGGATGAACTTTCTCGGCCAATGCAGGGATCGAACACCCGACCTCCAGGCTAGCAAGCCAGTGTCTTACCCACTTAGCGACCGTGATCCCCAGAATACATAGAACTTTTATTTTACCAAATTATCATAAAATAATGACACTACTCAGACAGTCCTCCATAAACTGAGGCTTTTTAATTCCTGGATGTATAAGTCTACTGATGCTGAAGTGAAGACAATGATTAAAATAATCATTGATTCATTGGGGAGCCACGGTGGCTCAATGGGTAGGACTTTGGCTTGCTAACCTGGCATGCACATAAAAGAACCCTTGATGATTGAAATTCGAAATAAGAGTAGGCCATAGCGACGCTGTCAGGGCAAAAATTTCTCTCATAGCACAATGCATGTCATATGCCCGTCTTCATTAGTCTAGTAGGAGTAGAACAGTAGGACGTTAAACCCATTTCATTTCATTTGACTTTTGTATGAGTGTAGCCTACTGGAAATTAGTAATATGTCTTAATGTAAGCAAAGTTTCAAATAGGTATATTTTTATTGAAATATGTCTGAAAAGTTTAATTCATTCTCAGAAATGAATAATTACTGTCATTTCATTTCAGTGATTCATTCATTCATTCAAGTGAACATTATATTGTTTTATGTATTTTCAGGAAGAAATTAATAATTGTGAGAGTACTCCATGTCTACATGATGGTGTATGTGTAAATAGGATTAATAATTATGATTGTGTATGTGAAGCTGGTTGGACAGGTAGAAAGTGTGAAACACCTATAAATATATGTACACAACTAGGAATAACCTGTAGTGGACGAGGAACATGTTACACATTATTTAATGACTACTATTGTCAGTAAGTAGATCTTTTTATTTCTAGAAGATCTGCAATAACTAGAAAATTATAAGAGCTTCCCTATATAGCTATTGCATGATTGGGGTATTGGTAATGAGTGAGGTTATAATGGTATGTAATGATTACATGTTTTGAAATAATGGAATGTGATGATCGGGATGTAATGATTACATGTAATGATCATATAACCAGTAATGTTAGATTTCAAGATTAATGAGTAATGGAAATGTTATTAATAACATTCCATCGAAAAACTTGGTATGGTCAATTACATTTCAGTTACTGTTCAGTTACATTTTACTTTAAATATCAATATTTCCAACTATGGTGAGCCACAAGTTGGATGTGTCGCCTTGATTCTTATATCTTCCCATCTTCAATAGAAGGCTTGATCTCGCCTTAACTACGTACATCTTATCAAGCCCTTCACGTAATACCCCGCATATTTTAGCACTAATTTTGATTGGGTATAAGCCCACCTTGTGATCCTATCAGATTCCTTTGTTAAAAATATCGATACAATTATCAAGTCTCTCGTTTCTAGCTAAAATGCCTACATGTGACAATCGAGTTGCAAAGTTCAAGGTTCGATCAATGTCAAGGTTACTGGAAATCATTGTTGATCAACAAAGGCTGTAAACTTGTCTATTTCTTTTTCTATGGAGGCCGCCATATTTGTTTACAGTGTGTTATCTGCCACGACTTCTGATTGGACAATGCTAATTTGTCAGTGTAAACACAACGAGCGCAAAAATTTGGGAATTGTTGAGTACTGAAGCAACGGCTAGATGTTGTAAAACTCGCGGTCGCTGCTTCAGGAACATGATATCTTCCAGGTGTTTATAGTTAAGCTTTATTTGCCTGGATGTTGAGTGGTACAAAATCTTTAGTTGTTTAGCTACATTAAATATGGCTCTTATGGATATCCATTTGGACAGTTATTGTTTATATTAATTTGAATTAATACAAAAAAAGGGGCATAGAGTATAACCATACCATTTGAAATGAAATGAAATGAAATGGGGTTTAACGTCCTACTGTTCTGCTCCTAAACTGGGCTAATGAAGACAGACATACGCCATCGCTACGGCCTACTCTTATATCGAATTCCAACTGCCAAGGGATCTTTTACGTGCATGCCAATGTGTACACAGTAGCTCGGTTTTTCGTTCCATCTGAACGACTAGACAGCTGTCCTTGTCAGGCCCTCCATCCTGCACATACTGTATGAAGACTGTGGTTATATGAATGATGTAGTTCACATTTTAAATGTCTGTTTTCTAATGTTATTTCCGGGATTGAATAATATTTGATGTTACTAGTATAGAATGCTAATATGATTTACCAAGACATTTACCAAGACTAGCGCCATACTAGAATAAGTTAAATCTTGTTTAATCATGGTTTTAAAATTACCAAGACATTTTCCAAGACAAGTTTTAGCACCAGATTAGAATAAGCAAATAAAAAATTACCAAGACAAGTTTTAGCGCCAGACTAGAATAAGCTAAATCTTGTTTAATCATTGTCTCATAAAATGTGCCTTTTTTACATTACTGTATTTATGAATATATATTTTATTTTTAAGGTGTAATGGAACATCATCTGGTAAAAACTGTGATATAGTTGACAATGTTTGTACTAAAATGCCTTTATGTTACAACTCTGCTACATGTTCATTAGTTAATGAGGCTCCACAATGTAACTGTCCTACAGGTAAATAATAATGAAATATTTCTAGAATGTCGGGAAAATGTAGAAAAAAGTGCCAGTGAACACTTACGGTATAATGAATATTTTAGTATGAATTGAAAGTTTTGAAATTATATTTTCTCAATTCATTAAAACGAGTCAGTGGAATAAACGAGAATTTCGGTTGACAAAGCTTGCACAAACCGAATATGATACTATTTGACCAATCGCCATAGCTGAAACATTTAATTATGTCACATTTCTGCTTGCACTACATATGTTTTCAGGAACTGTGACAGGAGTCAATTCTGTGTTGATTGCAGTTCAAAACATCCTGAATGGACAAGCGCAAGCCCCCCTCTCCCCACCCCCACCACACACATACACACACACACACAAGTCTTTTAGAAAATAAATATTATATATATTCATTTGAGAATATTCGAATCCCCGGTTGTACGTGACAAGGAGTAGGGTCGCCAGTCCAACTTCCTGGGTTTTCATCGGGTCCTCCGGTTTCCTCCCACTGCTAAAGACCCCTATGCGCAAGCGAATTATTGAAATAAAATTAAACCATATTTTAGTCCCGAAATGACCTAGTTGTGTCGAGTGGACGTTAAACCCCATTTCTCTCTCTCTCATTTGAGAATAACTTTTTTGTTTCTTTATTAATGGTAGAGGTCTATTAAATGAGCATAATAATGTTGATTCTTTTGTTGATAATGTTAATTCTGATCAATATGTTGTTATTTTTGTAGGATTTATGGGATTAAGTTGTGAGATTAGACAAGATTATGATTGTATAAACTCATCACCATGTTTAAATGGTGGTACATGTAGTATAGATTCTACTGGTTATAAATGTTCTTGTGATGCAGGTTAGTTTCTTCCTTTTAATTATACTGTAAATCAAGGTGGCAATTTACTTAATTAGTTATTAAAATTAGATAAACCTACTGTATTTTGGCCCTTTAAATGATAAAGATGGGCTTCTTGCGATTTTTTTTTTGAAGACGTAGCACTCTCATATAATTACATAAGTGCTCAGAGTCGTTATCACTCTGTTCATATCATAATATTCAGAGTAACCCTAGACTCATCTAATTTATATGACACTATACATTAAAAATATCAGAAATGGCTTTGCAGGTTTGTCCCAAACTTTGCCTACTATCAAATTTGAGTATTTTGTTATCAACAGCTCTAACCTCTAAAGTGTACTATTTAAGGTTCTCAGTAGATTATTGTAGTGATGCTGTTATACTCAATCATTTATATAATTTTCCCATTTGATTCTATCAATGGACGATTATGTTGCAGCTTATAAAGATCTGAATTAAGATTTCATTTTATTATTGTGTTTTTTCGTACGAAATTATTGAAATATGTATTTGTATTATTGCAGGATTTACTGGTGATACATGTGCTACTGATATTAATGAATGTGCGTCTGCTAATTGTCCTACGTCTGCTACCTGTATTAATCTTAAAAACTCTCACTATTGTAAATGTCCTGCAGGAAAAGCATTACCAAATTGTCAACAGAGTAAGTGTATCTTCACTCATAGCTAGTGAGGGGTCAAACTAATTACGTTCCTAATAAACTAGTAATGGTTATGTTAGAACAGAGTATGGAAACTCTGTATCAAGTTACCCTAAGGATCTTTCCTTGACTCGACCTCAACCAGAGTATAGTAACTCAAACTGAATTAGAGTATCAAGCTGTTTGTTTTGTTTGAACAGTATTAAATCATTTCAGTAATATCAGATGTAGAATGTTAGACATTATGTATATATGACATGATGTCTATTATTGTAATTGTTTCTGATTTCCATGGTTTTATTTTCAGATGTAAATTTAAACTATGATATATGTCTACGTAAATCTCTGTCTAGAGGCTCGGCCATGGTGGCTTTCCCACTCTCAATCAATTCTGTTGACGGTTTCACTATTGGTTTATGGGTAAAATATGATATGATGGGTGGAATAGGAACCTTCTTAAGCCTCTATAGAGCCGAGTAAGTTACCATATTTTAAACATTTACTTGAATTAAATTTGTACTTTGGAAGAATTTAACTATTATTTCTAAGCTATAACTAGTCCACCAATTGAGCGGGTTTGTAATGTATCGGGAAAATTTATCTGAAATTATATTACTGTCCTACAAAGGGGGGTTGGATGGCCAAAAGATTAGCGAGTGCACGTTGTATCATAATCACTGGAGTGGTTTTGATTCCTGTATCGTACGTGACAAGGAGTAGTGTCGCCTGTCCAACCTCATGGGTTTTCTCTTGGTCCTCTGGTTTCCTCCCACTGCTAAAGACCCCTACGCGCAAGCAAATTATTGAAATAAAATTGAACCATATGTTAGTCTCAAAATTACCTAGTTCGTGTCGAGAGGAGGTTAAACACCATTTCTCTCTCTCTCTATTTTTAATGTCCTACAATACATATCGATCTAACTACAGACTCATCAGTTGAAATAAGTAGATAAAGGGCATCCTATTGGCCAAATAAGAGGTCAGGTCAGGTCTGTTCTGGTCAATCGATCATCAATTTTGTTATAATGCTGTTAAACCGGTCCATGATGAGGATTGTCTGTTATATCACCCAAACGAGCAGCTGACGTTAAGTCCAACACACACACACACACACACACACCCACACACACTGCATTATGGGGTCATGTGAATTAATCACCTAACTTCTGTTAATTAATGTTAATTTTAATGTTAACAAGATTACTTACAAAATGAAAGTAGAGACTCACGTTGTAGATATACTGAAATAATTCCATGTTAATGATAATTTTATTATTACAGTAGCACATCAACATCCAGTTTAATACAACCAGATATTGTATCACTTGATGAGACCGGTATTAAACTACGAGTGTCAGGACCAGAAGTAACGGCTAATTATCATGATTTTAAACTAAATAGTGGTAGATGGCATGCTGTAGTTATAAGTTGGAGGAGTACTACGGTAGAGGTTTATGTTGATAGTTTACGACAGATACAAGTAACAGGTTATACGTCATCAATTACGTCTACTCAACAGTAAGTCAGTAAATCTCTTGTGTAATTAATCTAGAATAAAATAAAACAGAGTTTAATGTCCTATTTGTCTACATCGACTGGACTAATGAAGACAGACATGTACCATTTAGTGTGCTATGACAGAAATTTTACTTGGACAGAGGTGCTACAGCCTACCCTGATTTTGAATTCCAGCTGTTCCTTTTTTTTTATGTGCATCCCAACGTGTACACAGGTTTTTTGTTCAAACTGAATGACTAGACACTCTGCTATTTCTGAGTAGATGAATTAGCCAATCAGATTAAAACACAGATCCTATTTCGTTTTGTTTTTATAGTTCAAAATTTCGTTTTACTTGTCTTTACTACACTTGGATCTGGAAGAGTTGTTATTTAACTTGTGTTCTGAATGGTGTCGGGGATAAGCCAATGAAAAGGTTGTTATGGCCAGCTTTAGGCGTGTTTTTCACGGAACTGTGGGTAATCCACTAGTATCATCAATGCTGATTGGTTAATCAAATGTCTGACGTCATAGGGTCATAAGTCGGTCTTTTGACCCCTGACGTGACCTATTGCTATAACTTGTCAGATCTTCATGTAGTGTAGGCCATCAAAAGTATAAAAAAACGAAACGAAAATATAGATCTATATTTTAATCAGATTGATGAATTAGCATAGAAACTTTTTAAAGAAAAAGTAGCAAACACCCTGGACTGTAGACTGAAATCAATGTTTAATACATAGCGCTTCAACGTGTAGTAAACTCGTACTTCTGCTGAGCAGGAACAACACTATCTTCTTCTATGTATATCATCAATTTATCATTATCTGGTGAAAACGATATTTCGGTATTATTAATAGTATTGCTTCTTTCTTTTCAGAATCTGGGTGTCAATTGGATCTCAATATCCCATGTCAAAATCATTTATAGGGTGTGTGTCTCAGTTGAATATTTATAATAAAATATTAGAAGCTGGTACAGAATTACCAAGTTTATTTGATGCACCATCTTTTGTTTATCCAAGCAATGTTTACCAGGGTTGGGCAGATTATATCCTCAATGATGATGTTGTTATGGTTCAACCATCGAGAGTAATGAAAGGTGCATGCCCTACAGGATACACTGGTTTCCCTTCATGCTCAACACAAACCAATGGTAAGAGTTTTCATTGGTTAAATAATTATTTCCCCGATACCCCCTTCCTTGCCTTTAGGATTTGAGTGACAATGCATCGCTTCAGTGTCTGTTTGGTTTCTTGTTTTATTTATAACAGCAGAGAGTTGATTCATTGTTTTATCTCTGTCTTTATTTAACTCAACCACTACTGTTTATAATTAATATTAATGCTTTATATATATGTTATTTTAATAATATTTTTTCTGTGTTATATTTTGATGAGGTTTATGATTTTACTTGATAAAATGTTCAGGTTAAGGTTCCATATTTTAAAATTCAATCGATTACCAAGTCAAACCGCTACACTAGTACCATTGATTGCATAGTTTTATAGAATTTGGTAATTTTATGTTAGGTTATGGCATGGTCTACAAGTATATTTAAATTTATTTTATAGATAAAACAAAGCCTGGTGTTGATAGTTGTCCTAATAACGTGTTTTATCAGAGTACAAATGGTGCAGGACAACCAACATGGACAGAACCTGTATTTTCTGGTGCTTCATCTGTTACATTTACACAGCTTTCTGGTATGATATATTTTTATTATTTTAATACAATATAAATATAAACGTTTTATTGATTTTTAAAATGATGGAATGGATATCAGTTTTGACATAACATTTTATGGTGTTATTAGATCACATATTGAATAAATATTATTTATATGACCAGGGTTTTCACTTCAATATTTGGCCAGCTGGTCATATTTTGATGTTTTGGCGCAATATAGCCCGGTTGTTTAGTAAAATATATTCTTATTGGTTTTACATTAAAAAAGAACCTGTATGTGTTGTGTTTTAAGGTGAATTTCTTGGAAATTCTGATTAATTAATATAAATTGACCGGCAGATAAAATCTCCGGCTGGTCAGTTTTACTGGCAGTCCGTCAAGATTGGCAAATGTGACTGAAATTAGAGCCCTGATACATAGCGATAGATAGCTGGTTTCTCTTAATTCTGTATCCATTTGAAAAGGTTATGTAATATTTTGTGATATTTTGTTTTATTACAGGAGCTCTGTTAACTAAAGGACCACATACTATTATATATGAAGCTGTAGATGGGAATAAAAACAAGGCTTTATGTTACTTTAAAGTTTATATTAATGGTAAGTTTTCTTGAGCAGATGGTGATAGTAGTCAGGATGTATGATCCACATCTATTTATTTTATATGACTATCTTCTAGACTTGTAAATGGACAATTTTAATGCAATACAATGCAATGTGTTATTATTTCAGATGAGTTCTGTCCAGCACTTCCAGTACCTAGAAATAATGGAATTCAAACATGTAACAATATAAATAACAATTGGAGATTTACAGCTTGTAGTGTGGATTGTCCAGCCAGTAGTTCTACTATAAATAAACAAGGAAAGACATGGTATACATGTAGCTCTGAGGGTAATTGGGTGTGGCCTCCATCCAGTCAAGATATCTATCCTCCTTGTGGCAGTAAGTGATGTTCTGTTTTTATGTACCTACTGTCCCTCATGTGTCCACAATTTCTTGTGATTTTTATTCATTTGGTATGAAGTTAGAATCGTAGTATTAGAATATTCTAAATTTATCAGTTGCAAATTTAAGAGTTATCTCCCCATTTACCTCAAACATACTGAAATTTATATCATTCCTTTAAACCTAGGTTTGGGTATAAGGCAGAAGAACCTTATCGTAAATTTGGACTCCATTTTGCTATTAATTTCCAATTTATATTTTGGTTCATATTTTGACTTCTAAACTATTGGATGCTATACAGGTTAAAGTTTTCAATGGAATTTTTAAACCTCGTAGGTATTGTTCATTTGTGCTTAAATTTGAGTCCTTCAATTTGAGAAGTCATAACATGCGATGATGATCTTAACTCGCTTGTTAAATTTGAGGTTCTTTATTAGTAATAGGGGGGTTGGAGGGCCGAATGGTTAGCACCTGCGCGCTGTATCATAAGGCCTGTCATTGAGTCAACTGGCGTGGTTTTGAAACCCCGGTTGTACGTGACAAGGAGTAGGTTTGCCTGTCCAACATCGTGAGTTTTCTCCGGGTCCTCCGGTTTCCTCCCACTGCTAAAGACCCCTATGCGCAAGCGAATTATTGAAATAAATTTAAACCATATGTTAGTCCCGAAATGACCTAGTTTGTGTCGAGTGGACATTAAACCCCATTTCTCTCTCTCTTTATTAGTAATATCCATAAATTTGTTGCAGATTGCTATTGGCACGTGGTTAAATGGCAGGAAAGTAATGTCTTATTAATAATTTTAAAATTATTTTCCAGGTATTGTTGGCCCTGCAAATGTAGATGTGAATGTACAGATGAATTATTTGATATCACCAACAGATTGTCTGACAGTTAAATCAACATTAAATACGAAACTAACTACAAGTATACAACAGTTAAATACACAATGGAATAATGAGATCTGTAAACAAACTACATGTTCAGATATAGCATTTGATATTGTTTGTAATCCTGTTACTAAAGTAACATTTGATGTTAAAGATATTAAGTAAGTAACAGTTTTAATAAATAAAATGATATGAAATCGGATTTAATAACTTATTTTTGTGGGATAAAGAAGATGAGCATACGTCATAGAGTGTGCAATGAGAACATTTTTGCCCAGACAACAACACTGCAACCTATCAAATTTCTAACCGTCTTGTCAGCGATATATATATATTTTGTCCTGTCCGAATGACTAGGTGCTTGTCCTTGTCAGGTCCTACTCAGTCCACTCCTGACAATGGGAAAGTAGGCTGGAAAATCTTATCGAACTTTCTCGTCCAACCCCAGGGACCTCCTACTTAGACAGCAAGCACCTTACTCACTGAGCCACTACATAGCTATATCCAACAGTTTGTGTCAGGAACAAAAATGATGAGTCAAATCTACTGGACTAAACTTATATTAAATTGATTATTAATGAGTTCATAACTTTGTCTTGATATTATAAACAGAATAATTTTATGTTTGATTGAATTCTGTTTTACTTTTTTTAGACCAGAATTAACTAAAGGTAGTGAAACATTAACAGCAGAACAAGTTTTGATCAGGGCTACATTAGATGAAAATATATTTACTTATAATGTAAGTAGTAATTATTGCTCAGTGTATAAATATAAATGGATAAGTCTCAGTTTTGATGACATTGACTTTGTGTGTGCAAATCAGATACGAAAAAGTGTTGAAATCACCCAATTAAGTAAGTTGTCTGAAAGTATTAAGTCAAAATATTTGGAAATAACCGATATATTTATTGAATGGGGTTATTCATTTGATTATCTTTCAACTATAACTTAAATAAGTGTGTGGACATGGTTATCCCGGAACTTATAAACCGTGGAATTTGCAGAATTATTACTAGCACCAGATAGTTGCATCTGGGATTATTTCGTTAATTCATATGTTTCATAAAATACACAATACACGGTAATTAGCAATGCAGAATGAAGAGAATTAATGAATAATATTTACAGGATATTGTAAATGGTAGAATATATGCTAATACTTTATTAGTTGATATGAAGAGAATATGTCCAGTTGGTCAAACAGTTATAGATAATCAATGTGGTAAGATTCTTTATATAGCAAATTATTCTATAAATTGAATTCAGTTATTGATTAGCAATTTTTTTAGAAATAGACAGCAATGAATACTTGACATAGATTCATGAAATTGAAGATCAGCTTCTTTAAGGAGTTCTTATAACTAACAAAATTTGTTTTGTTGTACTTTTGTTTGTAACATTTTTTAAGCCAATACTGGATATATTTATTAACAAAAAAAACACTTGTTTTCTAGTTACATGTGCCAGTGGAACATATTATAACAATGTGACCTTTACATGTGATGATTGTCCTAAAGGTCAATATCAACCTGCTACAGGTGTGTCATCCTGTACACCTTGTGGTTCTGGTAAAACAACACAAACTACAGGATCAATAGCACTAAATCAATGTATAGGTAAGATTTTAAACCTTAAAGAATGAAGTTGACAAAAATGTTGACATGTACCAAAAACAGAAAGAAAGAAGTTGACAAAAAATATGTACCTGAAACAAATCAAATTAGGAGAAGATAGTATGTAACAGTATGGCCATATTCTACATATATGTACCCCATGACCGTTCCTACATTTTCAGAGCATTGATCTTTCAACTGCAGAACATTTTCAGATGATTGGTCTTTCAACTGCAGAATGTTTTCCAAGGATTGGCTGTTCATCTGCATAACATTTTCAGAGGATTATCTGTTCATTTTCAGAATATTTTGAGAAGATTTGGCATTCATTTGTAAACTATGTTCAGTGGATTAATAGTTCATTTGCAGAGAACATTTTCAAAGGGTTGAGCGTTGAACACTTTCAGGAGTTTGGCTGTTCATTTTCAGAGGATAATCGATCATCTGGAGAATATATTCAGAGGATAAGTCGTTCATTTGCAGAACATTTCAGAGGATTGGTAAAAAAAATGAGAATTTATACCAGAAGTTGCATAATGTATTTATATATTTTATAATTATAGATAGTTGTACTATTGGTAATTTTTATGATGTACAAACAACAAGTTGTCAACCATGTGCTCAAGGTTTATATCAAGATACTGCTGGAGAATTTAGTTGTAAACCATGTCCAGTTGGTCAAATAACTCGATTAACAGGTTCAACTAATATTTCACAATGTTATGGTATGTACATGTTTAAAGCAGCAGCATTGTTATTGATTTATATAAACAAACCATGATTTGTTTTGCCTACTATATTACAGTCTACTACAAACTTATTGAATCTCACAAACCTCCATATTTCTCAAATACAATATTTGAAAACTCTAAAAGTATAGGTAATATTCGCCAAGCAAGAAACTTGACAAGATTGTATTAGAAGTAGAGTAATTTTAATCTAAGTTGAGTTTCGGGTGTTTGTCCTTTATCAACAGTGTTAGTGTCTCTTTTGTTTATCTACTTCTATACTTATTTAGTATGACAAATGACTGAATGATTTGTAGCATATCTGACCCACGGTCTAGTTAAGCATTATAATTATAATGTTGAAAACTGTATTGAAACCATGTGACATTTTGCCATTTGCAAGGGGGCACAAAATCTCAAGGGACCGCAAAAACTCAAAACCATGACGCAAAGCCCATCATTGCATCCCTCTCACTTAGCCCATGTATGGAGCAAACATGAGGATTTCGGGTGACAAAATATATGACAATATGGATTAGGAAATAGCTCCATGAGCTATATAAGCTGAAACATAATGTTTGTATTATAAATATATTTTTATAGTTGGATGTAATGCTGGTTATCAGTTAGTAAATGGACAATGTGAACCATGTCCTATAGGAACATATAGTGATGATCAGATCTGTCAACCATGTCCATCTGGTAATATAACACAAACGGTTGGTGCAGACAGAATCTCTAATTGTACTGTTGGTAAGTTTTTGATGTCATTCCATAACAAAAAAAGTAGATTTTAATCTCCATTCTCAAAGTATTGAAGCATTTTTTTTTACTCTCTAGAAGTACAAGGAAAAATTGAAAGCTTTTGCCAATTATGATTTACTCGAAACTTGTAATCAGATTGTCATTACCAAATTTCATTCACTATATAATTTTTTATGGCTCAACCCATGCTAAATTATAGTCACATTGATTATTTCTGTTATGTCTTTTTTGTATTCCTGATTGTTTTCAAATTTGAGTGAAGTCTGCGTCACTACAGGCCCGGGACTGTACAGCACAGTGGACGCTTATGGCTGGCCCCCGGATCCATTCACTTGATTTGATATTTGTTTATTTGGTGCAATGTCTATTTTCTGTCTTGTCCGCAGGTTTATCTTGTAGATTTTTGTTTTACGTGTAGTGCGGTCCTCCTGCACTTACTATTAATTATAAGACAAAGCAACAATGTCTTTGCTTAGATTTAGATTAAAAAGAGGCATATGATAAGAGTCTTCCAAACATTTATTATAGGTGGCACTGGCTTGTTTATATCTTCATCATATCTTTGTAAATACTGAACAGAATATTTAGAAATTCCTTGTAGAGATTCAACTTTCACAATAATGTAGTTTGTAAGGGATTTATAATCCTCCAACTGATTATCACCAGATTTAATGAACCTTTCCCTTCACAATATGATGTATACACATGAACAAAAAATGTGATTGAGTTGAATTAAGTATTGCATTTATTTTTACAATTTTTTTAGTTGCCTGTGAGGTTGGAAGATACCGTACATCAGAAAACCAATGTGTAGAATGTGGTATAGGAACCTATCAAGATGTAAAATGGCAGACCAGTTGTAAACTATGTGGAAACAATTCTAGATATAGAACAGATACAACTGGTGCTTCTAGTCCTACACAATGTAGATGTAAGTTAATATACAATAACACATACCTTATTCTTTATGTCATATTGTTAGAGAGAGATAGCGACTGATGGGGTTTAACATCCACTTTGGACTAACATATGGTTCAATTTTATTTCAATAATTCTTTTGTGTGTATATTTAACTTTGGGAGGAAACCAGAGAAAACATATGAGATTGGACGGGTGACCCTACTTCTTGTCACGTACAATTGGGGAATCAAAACCATGCCACATGATTCAATGACAAAATTTATGATCCACAATGCTGTGAATATTGTGATCTTGATAAATATGATAGAATTATGGGTGAAATGCTACTTTAAATCACATCTTAATTAAAGATGCATTACACATCTTCAGTATTAAATGCATTTAAAGGGGTAAAGATTTTACAGGACACAGTAAATAAAAGTATGTTTAAGTTTTTGCATAATTAACTATAGAAATGAAATTATGTGAACCTCAAAATGACCTAAATATATTGTTGATGAAAATTTAAACCCCATTCCATTCGTTGCTTTCTATATTTATGTACGAGAAAATTGTTTTTAGACTTTTGTGGTAAACCATTTTTATCAGTGAAATATTTTAATACCTTATAATTTATATATACATATATATATTATATTTTTTAGTTTTCTGTGAGTCTGGTTATCAAGCTAACCCTAGTAATACTGATTGTGTGATTTGTGATGTTGGAACATACAAAGATAATGTTGTTGATGGCTATTATGGAACATGTCAAGCTTGTCCAACTAATTTTATTACACCAGCAACAGGCACAACATCAGTTTCAGGGTGTTCAATTTGTAAGTTTATAGACCTGGTCCCGAATTCACAAAGCATTCTCAGACTTTACTCAAAATTGTTTACCTTATTTTAACTAAAATATAGCCCTTTATAAAACTTTTGTTGTTTTAATGTATCAAATACATCAATAAGAAACTATGTGTAAAGTTTTGTGTTTCTGGATCAAAGATATTTCTCATAAATAGTGATTGAAAGTTGAGTAAATTCTTAACATAAGTCTGAGAATGTTTTGTGAACACGGGGTCTGTTCTGAATATATAATACCATTAGCAATCTGATTAAAATACAGATCTATATTTCGTTTTGTTTTGTTATACTTTGGATGGCCTACACTAGATCTGACAAGTTATAGCGATAAGTCACGTTAGGGGTCAAAAGACCGACTTATGACCCTATGATGTCAGACATTTGATTAACCAATCAGTATTGATGTTCCTAGTGGATTACCCACAGTTCTGTGCAAAACATGCCTAAAGCTCGCCGTGACAGACCATTTCATTGGCTTATCGCTGACACCATTCAGAACATGGGTTAAATAACAACTCTTCCAGATCCAAGTGTAGTAAAGACAAGTAAAACGAAATTTTGAACTATAAAAACAAAACGAAATAGGATCTGTGTTTTAACCAGATTGTACCATTAGCTTTAATCACAAACAGTCTCTGTGTGTCAGTTGCATTTTTTTGAATTATCAAATATTCCATGGTTTAATCTATACTAAAATACCCTTAAATTGATTATTTGATTGAGAAATCAATATATTAATGTTTAATGCATTTCTGTCTTGAATTTAATCCGAGGCCCATCGAAAGATTTCGGCAAAAATATGGTCGCACTGGCTTGTGCGAACTAGATCATGCATACTGAGTTGACAGATTTTTAATTCATCATATATTTGAAAATACTGAAAGGAATTAAAGTGCGTTTTGGTCTGGTATTCCTTTAAACAATTCATGTTTCATCATTTTATGATATTCATGATATTGTAATTTCCATGGCATTATCTATCTCTCACAAATAAGGATCAAAAACCTGTGATTACAAGTTTATAGGAGAACTTGTACAAAAATGTGAATTTGAATGTTTCTGATTAAATGACAGTAGATGGCATTGAACTCTGACATTCATGATGTAGCATTACCAATTTCAGTTTGATTTGTCAATGTGTTTTATTACATCACATGAATATTTATAAGGATGTATGTGAAATGGAGATAATCTGGCCATAATCTATGCTTAGTATCAATCTTTATAATATTAATGTTTAATATTGTATATTTTAGTGAAATGTGAAGCAGGATATAAAGGGAATACAGCTAATACAGCATGTGAAATGTGTCCATATGGTACATATCAACCAGCTGTCAATCAGAAGACCTGTACAAACTGTCCGGTTGGTCAAGGTACTAGAAGAAAGGCTGCTGTAGCACAAACAGAATGTGAAGGTAGGATATATTCACTTATTATACACTCTTTTAAGAAAATAAACTTATGACTTTATAATTATGATCTAGGTATAACATTTTTTCTTATTATTCTATTTCTATAAAAACAGGTATAATTAATCTTTTTGTTGGTTGGGATGATGTAATTTAATGTTAGGTTTGGGTCCAGATATGTGTCATAAATCAACAATGACATCCCAATTTTTCAAAATTGTAGAGGAAGAAATACCTCCTGCCCCCAACCAAATATTCTGCATGTGCCACTGACGATTACCTATTACAATCCCCTTCTACACAACATATTTTAAAAACAAGGAATATATGTAATCCTTGAATGACATTTAGGGGGTTTGGGTGGCCGAATGGTTAGCAAGTATGCGCTGTATCATACGATCATTTAGTCAACTGACGTGGTTTCGATTTCGGGGTTGTACGTGACCAGGAGTAGGGTTGCCTGTCTAACCTCGTGGGTTTTCCCCCAGGTCCTCCAGGTTCCTCTCACTGCTAAAGAGCCCCGTGAGCAAGCGAATTATTGAAATAAAATTGAACCATGCGTTAGTCCCGAAATGACCTAGTTTTTGTCAAGTGGACGTTAAAACCCATTTCTCTCTCTCTCTGAATGGCATTTGGCAATTGAGCAGATGAAAAACACATTTGTTCTTGAAAATGGCAAGAGAACACTTGTGAAGACATCATGCTAATAAACTAATGATTGTATTCCATGTAAATGGCTCCCCCTCCAAAAGTGTCCCCTTCTCCCCCCTTAGGTGTGCTACTGAATATATGATCAATGTGTACAACTGATAACTGCCATGACAATTTAAGGATTGATGTAATATTTGTTGTTATTTTAGTTTTATGTGCATCAGGATCGGAGCGTATAACACCAACTAGTGAGTGTACACCATGTCCTGTTGGTAAATATAGGGTACAATCTGACTTACCATCTAATATATGTACACCTTGTCCTGATGGTTATCTTACACCAAATACACAATCAGAACAAGTCTCTCAATGTACTGTTAGTAAGTATATATAACACATCTTTCTTTTAATGTTTCAAATATTGTATAACTTATCTTAAAGACTTTAGAGATTAAATACTACGATGGTATTAATAACTGAATCGTGCCATTTTTATATAAATAGATATAACAAACTATTTACCAAAACATAATAATGTAATTGTCCGCGATATCACGATGGTGGATATGGACAGTGGACATTAAACATGCATTATGCAAGAGCTAAATCTGCCTATTGCAGATCTTTCTTTAGGCCTGAAATGTTATCTAAATTATTAATTAGACATTAATTAACTTATCCAGACCACAATCAACTCTCGATGTCATTGCTAGCCTGTGATATTTACTGGATTAGGATCCGATTTGCTGCTTAACTTTCATTCATGATTAAATCATGAAATAGATAATCGAGACTGCTTTTATCATACCGACTTTAGTAATGATGATCGTGGCTAGACCCTTTACATTATCTAGTTTTCAAATATTATAATGAGAACTGCCAACTCTTTGTCTAATCTCCCATAAAGTATCATTAAATAAAGCTATTCCACAGACATATTTAGCCATAGTTAACAAATGTTTTGTAGTACCAATGTATTTAAACTACTGGACTGGAGATGCGTTATTAGCCTAAAGCAGCACGGTTGTCTTATACCCATTAGTGTATGCTTAAGCAGTCCAAACTTTTGTTTAACAACGGTATAAGCAGGGATGGATGACATGCACTGTGCCCATCAAACAGCCTCACCATTTTCAGTTCATTCATTCATTCATTGATTCATTCTTTGTTTTGTATAGGAAATTGTACAGCAGGTTATAAGATTGATGGAGTTAATTGTGTGGCATGTCCTATTGGTCAGTACCAATCTCTACCATATCAGCTATCTTGTCAGAGTTGTCCATCTGGTACAACTACTAGAAACACAGCATCTTCAGCCAGTACAGATTGCGAAGGTAATGTCTTGACAGTTATTTCTCATTCCACAAGAAATATGCTTTATATCACTTATCTTGGAGCACATTTCATATTGTTTATCTTGGATCACATTTCATATTACTTATCTTGGATTACGTTCCATATAGTTTATCTTGGATCACATTCCATATTGCTAATCTTGGATAATGTTTCATATTGTTTGTCTTGGATCACATTCCATATTTCTTATCTTGGATCATGTTCTATATCACGTACCTGGATCACGTTACTTATCACATATCTTGGTCAGGTTCTTGTTACAATAATGGGGGGAAGTTTGCTCCTAATGTTTCATTTTGTTACTAAATTATTGTAATTGTTATTTTATTGCAATTGTTATTATGTTATGTAAAGTTAATCCACAATAAATGGCCTATGCAATTAGATTTAATTTCTATGGATAACAGACAAGGGAAAAAGATCTAAGAAAAACAACAATAGTTTATGTGGGTTATTTGTAGGACACGGTTCAGGCACATGATTTCACTAGTTCATCAAAATTCAGGAAGAATTTCCTGCTCTTGGTATATATTTAGTACGGGAATAAATTATGCTTTTTTTAGGCTAGCCTTGCTTGGTCTGCACCATTTATTCCAGGTGTGTTCAGTTGAAGATTTCATATCTAGTGTGGTTTGACAAATAGATATTGAGTGAGTTTGCTTCAAACTGAAACAAAACCAACATAATCAACCACTTTGTTTCAGAAAAAAACATTTAGAATAGGGTTACAAGATGGCTACGAGAAAATTGTAAAAGCTTTTAGTATGGAATAGTCTACTTTAAAATACAGATGTGATGTCATCTTTTTATGTTGGCGTACTAATTATTTCAAATAGTGTACAGCCAACCTGCCAATCGTTCATTATTTAAACTAAATTGAGATGCACATGCCAGATAGTGTGTGTAATGATCTTGAGCAAGACATAATGTAATATATTGATACAGCACCTAGACTAACGTCCTCGTGCAGTATCAACATTACTTAGTCTCACTCTCGACCATTAAATCACATAGAGTACTTGTTGAGGTATAATATAATATATTGTAGATTTCTGTGTGGGAGGAGAAGAATTAATATCTGGCACATGTACACCATGTAGTATAGGTTTCTATAAAGATAATACAAAGGATAGATTTGGATCATGTAAGTCTTGTCCTATAGATAGAGTTACACCTGGTCGTAGTGCTACATCACTCTCAGATTGCTCATTACGTAAGTTTAATGTTATACACTTTAGATAATATAGATTACTTTTACACGCTATTTCATTCAAAAGCTTCAAATGAAAAGAAAACAAATACTTAAATTATTGTCAAACAGTCAAGCTGTGCTGTTTCTAGGTTATCAAGGATCTTATTTTTATGTACCTGTTTCACTACAGTATGGAAGAATTGGCTTTGAAACATAAATTAGGATATTAAACATTAACCCTTTGAACCCGCAAGTGTTTGCAGGTTTCTTGGCCTATACACTGTGTTCCGGTGACAGTTGTGGCTTAGATGTTCATCTTCTGGATGTAAATGAGTGAAAAGAGTCGGTCGCTTGTATTATAGGCTGTACAACATTTCTTTCTAGGTTTATCTGCAATATTCCATCTTTTTTTTTTATTAAACAATATTTTTATTCAGATTTGTATCTGAATAGGGATTGGGGAACAGGCATAGCCTATATTAAATCCTTTTTCATCTTGTGGTGCGAGTTATACTAAATGACTGAACGTAATCAAGTGAAGGCCACAACAATGTCATGGTCGGAAATCTGGCCTCGCAGATTCAAAGGGTTAATATAACTATGAAGACGGGTTAAACTAAGTTATAAATGGTGTTATTTACAGCTAATTGTACAGCAGGATCATATATTGATATGGCTAGTGATTCATGTAAACCATGTCCTATAGGACAATATCAGGCTGAGAATTGGAAAATGTCTTGTGAAACTTGTCCTGATCAAAGTATCACACTAGCTGTTGGCTCAACTAGCCGTGATCAGTGTATAAGTAAGTACCAAATTCTCAAAAATCAAGAACATTGATGAATATGAGAAAAAAAAAAGTTATTTAGAAATAATTGTGGTAATTGATAAATTTGAGGATAAAAAAGAGAAATGTGATATTGTGAGAAGCCTTATTTTTCTAACGTAGTTTGGTTTGAGAATTGAACATTTTCAGCACTAGCAAGTTTTCACTTCACTTTAATAGTATTCACCTAGTAAAATTCACAGCTTGATGGAAGTAGAATTATTAGATGCCAGCATCACCTATAAGTGTTAGGCATAATATTGTTGATTAGGTTTTTATAAAATTATAGACCAATAATAAAACAATTTTCTATCAATGACTTATAAAGATGGCTTTATTTATATATTTTTTTAAAGTATCATGTTTTGCGGGTTATGAGAGTAAAAGTGGTACTTGTGTTAAATGTGGAGATGGATTTTATAAACCGTCAAGGGGAGCAACATTATGTATTGCATGTCCTGATGGTTTTATCACAGATAAGGAAGGAGCCATAGAACAGTCAGAATGTAGTGTTGGTAAGTTTAAAAATACTTGTTAATTAGAATAGAATGTAGAGTTGGTAAGGGGGATCACGATGGCTAAGTGGGTAAGACACTGGCTCGCTAGCCTGGAGGTCGGGTGTTCTATCCCTGCATTGGCCGAGAAAGTTCATCCAGATTTTCCGGCGTGGTTCCCCCTTGTCAGTGATGCAGGACGGAGGGCCTGGCAAGGACAGCTGTCTAGTCGTTCGGATGGGATGGAAAACCGAGGTCCCGTGTACACATTGGCATGCACTTTAAAGATCCCATAACAGTTTGAATTCGATATAAGAGTAGGCCGTAGTGCCGCTGTCCGGGCACAATTTCTCTGACAGCACACTGTATGGCGTATGCCCGTCTTCATTAGCCCAGCATAGGAGTAGAACAGTAAAACGTTAAACCCCATTTCATTTCATTTCAGAGTTGGTAAGTTTATAAATACTTGTCAATTAGAATAGAATGTTAATATTGTTAATATCTGTATATCTGGACTATGTGTATTATCTGTATATATGAAAGTTAGAGACTATGTGTATTATCTGTATACATGGAAGTTAGAGACTATGTGTATTATCTGTATATATGAAAGTTAGAGACTTTGTGTATTATCTGTATACTTGGAAGTTAGAGACTATGTGTATTACCTGTATACATGGAAGTTACAGACTTTGTATTATCTGTATACTTGGAAGTTAGAGTCTATGTGTATTACCTGTATACATGGACGGTAGAGTCTATGTGTATTACCTGTATACATGGAAGTTAGAGACTTTGTGTATTACCTGTATACGTGAATGTAATAGATAATTTCAGAAGTTTTTCACATGAATTGTTAGATGATACAAAGATTTTTATTTTTTTAAGCTGCATGTACACCTGGTTATTACCTAGATCAACCAAACAACAACTGTAAACCATGTATATATGGTCAATATCAACCAATCAAATGGCAGAAATCATGTTTGACCTGTTTAGCAGGAAAGACAACTCTTCAAGTTGGAACAGATTCCCAAGCAGGATGTGTCAGTAAGTATAAAGATCGTTACCTCTGATATTGTGTAAAGAATTTAGGTTATATGCCATGATACATTTTCCCTGTTTGTTACTTACAAATGTTGGTTTAATAAACTTATTTATATTTGTATAAATAACATTAATTGATGACATCCTTAACCCTAAGCTGAGGTTCAAACTTGAAGGTGGATATAGACCTGTAGTTCCATCTGGTGTCCTTTTTATATGCCAAATGGTATTATTCAATCTAAAGTCTAAAGATTTGGTCTTGTGGACTACTTGGGTGACATAGCTGCTGTGGGTGTATGTTTCAATTCCAGACAACCTATCACATTTAGTCATCTGTCGGTTTAATCATATTTGCGTAGGAACAACTTGTTTGAAAATGGGAGACTAAAACTAACATGCTTCTTCAGATGCATGTTTACAAAGCTTACAGAGCGATGAAATGGTATTTATTAGAAGAAATTGTAAAGAAAACTGAAATGAGAATATTTTATTTCTATTGGCCAAGAGCTATAATATGTGCTGTTATGTTAGTGTTGAGCCAATGAACAATCGGGATTCTTAAAATGTTTTAATGAATAGCAACCTGACCTCCAACAATCATAAACATAATCACATGTATATTTCTGTGTATTTTATGGCCAAGAGCTATATGTGCTATTATATTAGTGAACCATGGGTATTCTTAAAATATTTTAATGAATATGGAAAACAATATTGATATAGTCATGCGTATATGTATATTTTCTGTGTAATTTAGCTGATTGTGCTATTGGTCAAGAATATAAAGTAGATAGATGTCAACCGTGTGGTATCGGATATTATAGAGATAAATCAACACCAGCCCAAACAACATGTCAAATATGTCCTGGAAATTTTATCACTGCTGATATTGGAACAACATCAACTGCAGGCTGCAACATCGGTAAAGTCAATTAGAAAATTTTACTAAAAACAAAAGAATCATTGTTGACAAATCGCTCCTTTTAAATTTAATAACTTTATTCCCTCAGTTTATGTGTTTTAATCAATGTGACCAATCACTCAAATGCCACTGAAACAATTTATATAAGGGAAGGTTGTATAAAGGAAATCGTATTATTGTTTTACTAGTTATATAATTTTGATAGCTACTTGTCAGCACATCGGATGTATTGTACTTTTTCTAAATATCCTGACGTGCAAGATGGCTTGCTTCATCAACATTTATTAATCAAACTGGAAATGGACATTGCTTGATAAAGACTAGAGAAGCCAAGATGAAACACTCAGTAATCAAGAGAAATTGTATTTCATAGAATTGTGTCTTTGACATACTCTTGACATGTAATATTTATAGATAATGAAAAATGAATATATTGAAAATTTAATTCAAATTACTTTATTCTGGGTGAAGTTATGACTGTTTGAACATGTGGTGTAGATCATTTATTATTGTAGCAATAGTACTTGACAATCAAGACTATGACACAGTTGTCCATTTTTTCGTAAAATTTTTTAATCTTGTTGATGTTCAAATTCATGTAAGTCTGGGCCATCTTATGGTCTAGAGAGTTGATTATAGGCTTATCATTTGAATAAATTGTCTAAATGATAATTTATATAAGAATTAAAGCTAGATAAATGACCTGCAGTAAGCAGATGCATCTTTAATGTTAACATCTGTAATATATAATTTTTCTTTAACAGTAAATTGTACCACACCTGGTCAGTATCGTAAAGATAACCAATGTACATATTGTCCTATTGGTAAATATCAGGATGTAAAATGGCAGACTTCGTGTAAAGATTGTCCGTCTGGAACAACTACTAAAACAGAAGGAACACGAGCCCTGTCATCTTGTTATAGTAAGTCCAAGTTTAACACAGAATAATTTATCTCCAATAAACACAGGATATTAATACAAAAAATAGCCACAACAGGGACATATTGGATCTTTTTGTGACCAACAATAGGTTTCACTCAAAATTTTCCAAGTCAGTTGGTTTTTGACTTATTTTTATTTTTTGACCTTGAATGTGAAAATTTTTAAACAATCCCAAGTTTTATATATATTTTTACAAATTAAAATTATATTTTTACAAATTAAAATTATATTTTTACACTTTGATAAATTTAATTGTATTTAGTGTGGTTTAAGGTTAAATTCTTTAAAATTCTTCAGCCGGTCAATGTTGCTGCCAGTCAGTTATAGATAAATAGTGTATTTGGAATTACAGGATTTAATAGAAACTAAGGCAAAGTTGTCTTTTACTTACAATATATTTATGAAATGAAATGAAATTTGACATCCTACTTTGTGGTCATTTCTAAAACATTTTTTTTTTTGATTTTTCAAATTAAAATGTGAATGTTCGTTCCAGTTGCATATGAATATAAAGGATTGTCCTAGGGTGGAATGACTCAAGACAAGAAGTTTGTTCTCTACCTAAAATATTACATTGAAAGATTTCTCGTGATTGTATGATTTTTTTATTTATTGATTTTTTTTATTATAGAACAATGTCCATCAGGTCAAGAGGTCAATGAAATGACCAATGAGTGTCAAGTATGTAGACAAGGTTTATATAGAGTAAGTGGAGAAACATGGACGTGTCAGATATGTCCGGCAGGTTTTACTACAGAAAGAGCCGGAGCTGTATCATTAGCACAGTGTAATATACGTAAGTAATCCCATTAAGGAGAGGGTTTTTACATGGTCTTAGCCTGTTCCCGAATCCCATTCAGATATCTTGAATAAAAATACTGTTTTAAAAAAAAAGTATAAAGTTTTCAGCTACTAGACTAAAAAATTGCAATTGATGTCAAATTAGCAAAGCTTGCATTTCTATGAAGTCATAACATTACGTGTTACATATATATTTGACTTGTAGAAAATTGAAAGGGCTTTCAAATAATACAAAAATTGTTGATGGTATTTGTTAAATTTGTTTCAATTCTGTGTGCATCAAAAAAAACAAAAAAAACAATGGCAACTTTACCCTGCTTATGTGACACAGTCTATTAAACAATGTAAATATCTGGCCAAACTTTAAATAACAATTCGTCAAATGGACACCCAGTTATCTCACAATCACTGTTAGCTGTTATAACCAGGCTCAGGTTTCACAAAATATTCTCAGGCTTAAGTTAAGAATTAACTCAACTTTGTGAAACGGGGCAATATCGATTTGGCATCTAATGATTTAAGCCTAGTTTACAATCATCTGTAAGAGAAAGTTACGTGAAGAGCTCAGATTTTTTATAACAACTATAAAAAAATCTTTGAATATAAAATTTAGAATCAAAATGTTTTCACGCTTAAAGATGCATTGTGTAAGATTTAGATAAAGAGCTGGTCATTCTTGCTATTTAAAATAGATAATGCAAAATGAATATTGAAAATTTTATTCAAATTACTTTATTCTGAGTGAAGTCCATTATCATAGCAATGGTACTTGACAATCAAGACTTAGCATCAATTGTCAATTTTATCATTAAATTTTACAATCTCGTGGATGCTTAAATCCATTTAAATCTTGGTCATCCGATGATCTAGTGAGTTGATTATAAGCTTGTCATGTTAATAAATGTCTAATTAATAGTTTATATAACATTTGAAGCAAAAATAAAGACGTGCAATAGGCAGATTTAGCTCTTACATAATGCAACTTGTACAGGAACAAGATTTAAACCTAATCTGTATTTTTATTGTTTACAGCAAATTGTAATGCAGGTACATATTCTGATATAGCTAGTGGAAAATGTATACCATGTCCTAAAGGTACCTATCAAACATTACCAATACAGGTTAGCTGTATACCATGTCCTAATAATAAAATGACATCAAGAGAAGGAGCTGCTTCTGTACAGGAATGCATATGTAAGTTTTTTTTTTAATATATCTCTTCAAAATGTATAAAATTGTAGAGAGTTTAGAGATATTTGAAAACTAAATATTTATTTCAATACTGAGAAGAGAAACAAGCTTGTCAATTTGACAATTTGACAAGAAGGCTTTCTGATTAAAAACATTTTTGAAAGGAAACCTCTCAATTATTCGGTCATTGTCCAATTAAATATTTTGCAGATTTTTATGAGGAAGTATACAATGGATTGAAAAATATCTGATTGTAATGATATTGTCCTTCTTCATTCACTGAGTAAATTGAACACACTAATGTGATATTGAAATCCATCCATATTTAATTGATATTTTAACGGTCTATGTTTCTGTTATATATTTTCGATTAACTTTCTTTGCAGCTTTATGTCAGACTGGACAACAGAATTGTACAGCACCAACGACATGTGTGGATGTACGAGGAGGGTTTGAATGTCAATGTCAGCTACCATATTTTGGTACCAAAGATAACTGTACACGTAAGTCTATTGTACAATCTCAACATGGCACCTTCTCCAATACATATACATAAAAAGTATGTCTGTCTATTGTTGTTGTTCTTAAGCGGTGGACACACTAGCCGAATAGGCACCCCCATCTCCAAGTCATATATACTCACACCAGGGATTAAAACCACGACCGCAGGCCAGAGGTGATTGCCCAATTCGAAGCTCTAGATCACATGGCCATTTCAACTCCCCCCCCCCCCCCCCCCCAAAGTGCTTGGTAGATGTTTTACACTTTGTTTATTGTGAATAAATATTTTCATTTTGTTCACACAATATTTTCAATATATATTATAGATGCATGTGATTCTGGTTATTGTTTAAATGGTGCTACATGTAGAAGAGATGCTAGTACAATCTGTTATTGTGCTGAGAATTATAATGGTGTAAGATGTGATAGTCGAGTTGGTAAGTTAGTGATATACCATCACATTAAAATGAATTTATTTCGTCATCCAAAAGACATTATATAAAATATATAGGGAGCCACAGTGGCTTTGTGGTATGGAGGGGCAGGGTTCAATTATAGTGATGAGGATGGAAGTTTAGTTTATTGGATGGGACAAAATTCAGATGCCCTATGTATAACATTGGCAGCACATTAAACACTGAATGATATATGCCTGTCTTCATTAACCTAGTTGGTTTAGAAAACAAATAAATCACTAAACCATATTTCCTTACATAAAAGATAAAAATTAAGATGTGTTATTGTATTTTTAGATGCAGCAGTAGCTCCCAATATACGTGATGTATTAGTGGGTGTTGTAGTAGGAGTAATATGTTTTTTACTGTTAATAATAGCTTGTATAATAGCAGCTATAACCAGGTACGTCAACTTTTATATATTATATTAAATCAGGCAAATTATTTGATCATATTTAATGGTGTGGACAAAGAGCCAAAATAAGAAATACTACTCGGATTCTCAAAATGGTGGGGGGTTTTGTATATGTTTTCTTCTTGAAAGAGAAATCTCAGTTTTCAGTGGGTCTCTGGAAAAAATTCCTGATTGTATATCTATGCAAAATGAAAATAAAAATGTTATAAAATTAGCTATATACCTTGTCCGAATGTTCCAACTCAAAATAATGAGAAGTTTGGGAATTATCGTTGAATCAGTTTATTGGTTTTTACATAACTCTTTTAGTGTATGAAACTTTCAAAGTAATTAATTGGACTGTTAAATTCCCAGCTTACACATGTATTGTTATATAATATTGTTTTTATAACCTTGATCAACCATATTTTTTAACAATAATTTTAGGAGGAGAAGAAGAGCAGAGAAAGCTAAAAATGAATTCTATCCACCACCATCTACAGCACCACCATCTGTATTTAATGGTTCACTATCTGGTAGTCGGGGTAAAGGATTCATGCCACAGTACGATCAGATGACATATGATCCATCATTTTACAGTGCAAAATAAAACATATATAATGAATAGTAAGTGTTGTAATTGAATTATATTTTAATCAAACTGTAAAAATAGTGATTTCCGTTGTACCTGGCAGTGGTTCCGTGAGTAGGTTACTGGCTAACTAGCCAGGAGATCCGGGATTCGAACCCGATGTTAGCAGAGAAAGTTCTTCAGGATTTTCCAGCATCTTTTCCCTTTGTCTTTCCCTTGTCAATGGTGCAGAACATAGGGTTTGGCACAAAACAATGTCTAGTTGTTTGGATGTGACAAAAAATACATAGGTCTTGTGTAAAGGTGGCGTGCACGTAAACAGACCTTTGACAGTTGATATTCAAAATAAGAGTAGGTGGTAGGGTCACTGTCTGAGCAAGTTTACCCACATAACACACAGCATGGGGTACGCTCATTTTCATTAGCCCAGTTGGTGCAGAAAAGCAAGACTCTACATTTATTTCATTTCATTTGTACTGGTACCTGACAAAATATCAGGAACTACTGTTGACAGTTAACATACAGACAAGTCTGGAAATAATGAATTCAATGTCCTAGTACCTGATAGGTTGAATTTTATGCCAGACACGTATTAAAGATATCCGTAAATACACCGAAAATAGACAAATCTGTAGGACCCGGCAAAATGGCAGGCACAAGAGAAATTATGCCTCAAAAAGCCTGAATTTCTGCTTTACAATGTCTGTTAGCTGTGCGTTATTTTCAGACTTGCTTGCAGATACAATACATTACCAGTATTTCTAATAATTTTAACTAAGCCTTTCTTCAGATTCTTTGAACTATGAAACATATGTCTATTAGGCTTTTCATAAAAATAATTTTATTAATGTTCATTTAAGAGTCCAATTTACAATATTTTTACAGTTTTAAAATCTTTTAGTTGCCTTTTAATTTAAAATATTTCTTCTTTATCATATTTTTCAGAATTAAAGGTATATCATTGGTCATCATGTCATTTAACACCCATATCACCTGAACACCTCCAGTTCATAATCCATTCTTTTTAAAAAAAAAACGGGAGATAACTGCTTGTGATTACCTCCCTTTACCCATTGAAAATTATATTCTTTCTGTAAAATGATAGAATTTTAGTTATTTAATGGTAAAATTAAGCTGCTTTGAGCAATAATCAAAAATTCCATTATTTATGTAATGAAATTGGGTAATTATTAGAATTCTTACCACATGATATTGAATAATTATTATAAGAATTTCACCATGACAGTAATTAACCCAAGAAACTTGTTCAAAGTAGTGGTCACATCAAATGCTGATTTTACTGTTAAAATATTTTAAGTCATTATTTGAATATTACTTGGTTATTCAATTACATGCATACGGTCATTTTTCGGGTTCTTTTTGGTGCATTTTCAGATTTTTTATAAATTTGGAATTGTTCATATTAGCATTTCATTGTTTACAACATTTCATTGAATTAATCTGTTAAACATTTCCTATTGGAGACAAAAAAAATGACTTAATTCCATTAATTTAACTGGCATCAAATACTGAATACCAAGAAATAATTTTGAATAGCAAATTTTAATAAATTTGTTGGAATTTTAAGTTTCTACAATATTATCATTCCATTATAATTATAATATACATCTACTAAAATCGTGACATATATAATAGTGTTCTTATCATGCTTTTACTTGCTAGAAGTATGATTTAGTCCTTTACTTTATTTCTCAGAGCATAGATATACACTATATAAATTTATTGTCATTATTTATTCTGCAATATGTTTAAACTTTTTATACAGAATTTACATATTTATCAAATTATGTACAGATTTTGTAGATATTAAACTGTATATTATGTGAAATAAAATGTTATTATATGTTGTACATAATGTTAAAGGGGTAAAATCCATTTAAAATCTACACATTCATATTATGTTATTTTTTTTATTCAAATTTATGTATTTTTTAAAATAAAATATTATTATACTAAGGTTTTGTAAATTTTTGTGACAAAATCTAATTTTGAACAGTTGAAACTACACTTAAATCTACAAAAATTGAAGATTTAAAATTTAATTAAGAAAATATCAACATTAAACAATTTCCATGCTTGGATTTAAACAGATTAAAAAGAGGCTGATTTAAACATTTTACCCAAAGTCGCAAAACCTGTAAACCTGTAGTTTGTTTTAAATTAAATAGCTGACACAGGAATTATTTAGATAAGGTACTAATCCAATAATCCTGCCAGATGCGCCAATCACATCACGAATAAGACAAGATCATATGATTTTATTTTCCCAAAGGGGATGGGGTAGGGGTTTGTTGATCATATTCGCTGTTGCAACTATAATAGCCTACCAAATGTGAATCATAATAAAGGCTGTTGTTGCAAATTCAGAGTATGTATGTGACAAGGAGTGGGGACATCTTCCTAATCTTGTGGGTTTTCTGCAGCCTTCTTCCATTTCTAAAGATCTAGGAGCAACCAAAATATTAAAATACAATGTACTATATATTATAAGTCCCAAAATGAAATTAATTAAAATCGATATCTCTCCTGTATCCTATCGAAAGCTTTTAGGATTGGGACCAAATGTCAAATAAAACCAGAATCTAATCACGTTCTGGCTGACATAACCATGAAAGAGACATGATAAATGAACAAGTTCTTCAAATAAACATTTTCTACCCACATCCCATGGTTACGATAAATAATTTGATCAGTGGTATATTCACTTCATTTAGGGGGGTTTGGGTGGACGAATGGTTAAAGCGCGTGTGTGTTGTCTCATAAGGTCTGTTGTACGTGACAAGGAGTAGGGTTGCCTGTCAAATCTCATGGGTTTTCTGTGGGTACTCCGGTTTCCTCCCACTGCTAAAGATCCCTACGAGCAAGTGAATTATTGAAATAATACTGAACCATATGTTAGTCCCGAAATGACCTAGTTTGTGTCGAGTGTATTTAGACCTCATCCCTCATGTCATCTCTCTCTCCCTCTTCTGATGGGGGATCACGGTGGCTAAGTGGGTAAGACGCTGGCTCGCTAGCCTGGAGGTCGGGTGTTCGATCCCTGCATTGGCCGAGAAAGTTCATCCAGATTTTCCTTCGTGGTTCCCCCTTGTCAGTGATGCAGGACGGAAGGTCTGACAAGGACAGATTCTAGTCTTACAGATGAGACAAAAACTGAGGTCCCGTGTACACATTGGCGTGCACGTAAAAGGTCCCTTGACAGTTGGAATTCGATATAAGAGTAGGCTGTAGTGCCGCTGTCCGGGCAAAATTTCCCTCATAGCACTTCATTAGCCCAGTTCGGAGCAAAACAGTAGGAGGTTAAACCCCATTTCATTTCATTTTCCCTTCTGATTGTTAACTCAATATTATATTATTCCTTCAAAATGACATAATATTATCCGAGCCCAAGGTGCTGCAACAAATGACCTACAAGGAACGATGTCTTATGGATATTCTACACATCATACATACATATCGTTTCCAGTTTTTATTGGTTTATAAAAGCTGACAAAATTATGGATAATTGTAATTTTGACAAAGCAACATAAAATTGATTGATTGAAGATGCCTGTATACATTTTATAAAACAAGCATTTTCTTTTATTTTGAAATCTCCATTAATTTTATTCTGTTATGATAAATGACATGTATACATCTATCTAATATTGCTTCATGTTCATTGATGGCAACAGATGGTTTGTCGATTCATGCCTGGCCTGGTCGATCCCGCATAGTTTCCTTTATTTTCAATTTTACACATACATAATCTGTTTATCACACGTTTATTCTTGTCCAAGCTGTCTGTGGGTGGGGTGGTGTTTTACTGAATGGTTAATTCGTGCGCGTTGGGTCATAAATACTGTCATTGTGTCTAGTGGTGTCGTTTTGATTACCCACTTGTACGTGACAAGGAGTAGGGTAGCCTGTCCAACATCGTTGTTTTTTCCGGGTCCCGGTTAAATAAAATTGAACCATATGTTAGTCCCGACATGACCTAGTTTGTGTCGAGTGGACGTTAAAACCTCTCTCTCTCTCTCTCTCTCTCTCTCTCTCTGTATGTGGGTTTTATAAATTGTTTATCCAGTGTAAGCTATAGTTCCTCCTTGTCAGTTTTCTACCGTTTTGTCAAAATTTCAAATATCCGTGACTTTGTCATTTTTTGAAAAAGAAATTTTGGATATGGTATGCAGAATATGCATATCCATAACACACCAGTCTTTGTCAGTCACATTATGCAATACATTGTGTAGGACCCGGGCTTCTGGGCAGTGAGGGGAATTCCCCTCAGCTGGTAAGTTCTTTCACTAGTAAATATAAGCTAACGTTTCCTTATTTAAAGAGCTAACTTATTTAGATATTATTTAGATAGCCATTTAGATGATTTACAATGTTTTGGACCAATAAGTTTTTGGTAAACCCCTGATGGTCTTAAAGAAAGGTATAATTGACTCCTTCGCCGACTTCACAGTACTCCTGTGTCGTGCCAACCATATTAGGTATAACAAATCCAGACATGAGAGTAAAAAGTAAGAATTTTTACAAGCTTTTAATAATACGGTCACTAACTAAATTGGTCTTGAGCAGTCGGATTTGCGGGATACCGATTAATTTGTTGTACCGATTATCGATGTGTTCAAGTATAAAAGATGATTGGGATATTAGGCTGTTGAGTGGTCCAGTATAACGCGTGCGCTTTAGATCGTAAGGTTAGGTATGTCATTGAGTCAAGTGACGTGGTTTCGATTACGTGATACCCCCCTCCCTCTCTCTCTCTGTCTGTCTGTCTCCCTCTCTCGGAATTGCCGATTAATTTGCGATTCGAACATCGATGTATTACAAGTCTAAGAAATGAGTATGGTAAATTTAATTTTTGTTTTAAGCTGACAATTTTACAGGAATTTCTATTTTAATCTAATCGATGAAATATAAATAGATCTAAATTGAAAAATAAAAGGAAAAATTGTGCTTCATAATGATGACGGGTAAGATGTCTTTTTGTGAACCTTTCCATTCACATCAGATATTCTATCAGCAACCTGTTCAATATAGCCATCTTACTGCAAACATAATGTTTTTAAAGGTCAAAAGAAAGAGTGTGCGGTTTTTATACTGATCTTTTTAATAGATTGAACTACTGCACGCCTTGATAAACACGGTGCTTCTAAAAGATTAAACTGGAAAAATGCTAGAAATTGGTATTTATTACCGCTCTATTCTACTGTTGCCTTTTTTATTGGTAATACATCTGTCGTGTAACAGAGGCTTAAATAACTCTTTTTCTGCTTTTATTATTTTACCTCGTCGTTTTCTGTGGCACTTCTAAGCTTTGTATCTATTTTATGAGCCTGTGCCTTTGAAGTTTGTCATTTAAACAGTAAAATGAAGAGAAATAGAAACGCAAACCGACCATAAATTAACCCGTGTAATGAGTTTGTCATTATAAATTGCCGTCATTGAAGAAAGAACTCGCTAGATGTTTTAACCGAATGGCTTTTTATTCAGGTCAAATACATATACGTTACATTTCGAGCGAATTGCAATTTTTTATTCACTTTATCTGTCTTTTCTTGGCTTTAAAAATCTTGACGGAAATATATTGTATATAAGTCAACTGGAATTAAATGTTTTTTATTTGATTTATTTTTTAATTCGACTGAAAGAAATCGCCATTTTGGTTTTTACAGTTAGAGAAATGTATGCGCATAAGTGGACACTTGGCGGGTAGAATTCATCCATACAGGATTCACTCATTGGTTCGATGCACCATTAGTCATTGGTCTTTCGAGGGTGGGGACGGCGTATTACTTATTTGTTGGCCCGTTGCCAGCCTGTTGACTGCGGAAGGGCAGTGAATTTTAAGGGGGCAGGAGATTCTCTCTCCCCATAGGAAGGGGGGTACCGGGGTCCAAGGGGTAGCCCCCCCCCCCCCGGAGAAATTTTTTGAAATTTCGACCTGAAATGTTGGTCTGCGGAGTATATCGCGGGTCTAAGCAGAAACAAAATATCGCAGAGAGGGGGCCAGTGGCAAGGGGGTCCCATTGCCAGTCCGGACCCGATGATATCGGTTCGCAATTCTTGTCAAACGAGCTGGTTGAGTGAGAAACGGGGATCCGACAGAAATATTGGACAATTAACAAGACCTCTACCTGTCAACTAGAAATAATATTTCGGGTTTCCGGTTGTGGAAACATTTCTGATATCAACTACCTAATAATTTCAAAACTCATCGAAAAAAGGCCACTATGTTTCACGATTTCTGGGACATGGGTCCTCATTCTAATAAATATATATATAAAAATTGTCACCAAATCGCCGGGCCCCTTCGGAGCCCGGGCCAAGGCATTTGTCTCTGTTGCCCTCGCCATGATCCGTCACTGCTCCTCCCATAGAAAATTTTGAAAATTGGACGGCCGCAAACGCGTTTTCCAGCCCAGAAAATCGTTCTCTAGCAAACTCTGAACAATGAAGATTGTGACAAGACAGAAGGCCCACGACAGTAGCCATGTCAGTACAAAATATATGGTAGATAGATATCAGAACATAACCAATAGGCTAATATGAGACTTGGTACAAGGTGCCACGTCCCCAAATCAATACTCCACTTTATGGGCCCAGATTGGATTTTATTATCTTACATCGACGCCAGGAGATTATACACGTTACATTTATTTTTCTGATGTGTACATGATAGTAAATGCAAAGATATATCAGTATTATCTTATTACCAATCCAATATATGACATACTTAATTTGGTTAAGCATAATATGTCTAAAAATTAGATATTCATCCTTTGGGAAATTAATTATTCCAAAAATCATGTAGGCCTGCATACAACAGCAAAAAAATCGCCCAACCCATTCTCGTCTGATCAGTGAGCGTGCTCTAAGCTAAGTCCACT